ACTCAAAATCAGGCCTCCAACAGCTTTAAACAATAATGTCAAATGTTACTGACAGCTAGATTTGGGCATCTGATCCCAAACAGCATCTTACTCTCTGTTCCTTTGCCCATACACTTCACAGGATCAAGGTTACATTAATCTGTAAACTGCACAGTGAGCTTTTGGTAGAAAATGGATTTTGCAGGAATGTCTCACTAAAATTTTGCACTAACACAGTAAAGCAGAAGCTTAGTTATGTGACATGACCATAAACACCTTGAGCATCACTATGGACATACACAGCATTGCTGTGGTCACTGACCTCATCAGTACTCATTGTTCAAATTCCACATATGGGATAGAACTTTTTCCTATCTTGTCCATGTCATACTCCTGATTCTACCTATCTTTCCATTTCAGGGCAGTTTTCAGGATGCTGGGTTTTGTTAGTACCTGTGAAAACTGCTATTTCTAGAAAACCCTGTATATGGAATTATGGCATCTCCATAATTCCTGTCAAATCATGTTAACTCCTGACTCTGGAAGAAATTGGAAATGACCAGCTACCTGCTGGGGCAGAGATGAACAGAGAGACAGAACAGTTTCTGATCATAGATTAATGCCAATTCATTCAATATTAAAAACAGACTAAGATGCCAGAAAAACTTTTGAAAATTGAAACCCTTTAAGAAAAGTAGAAATAATTAAGGCCTGCAATTTTCAGCCAGTCAAAGCAGAGTTCTCTGAAGTGGAGGCTGCTCATAATCTGCAGCTGCTAAGACCCTTATCATTTCTATTTATTTTATCAGAAAATTTAGAAAACCTTTCTCTCTGCATATAAACTTCTTCCACTGAACTTATTTAAATTGATGGGACTGATGTAGCACAAAACAGTGTAAGACTAAGATGCATATCAGCTTTGTTTGATGCTCAGCCATCAGTAAATGTCTGCAAACAGTTCTGATTTTCAATTCTAGCCACAGCTCATTTGAGAATGGTCACACGTTTTAGTGAAACAAACAGATTTATCCAGTCGGGTCTTGAAACACCCGGGGAGATTGCACAATCCCTGCTCTGGGGATGTGAAGCAAAGGGGAATAATCCCTTCCCTTGATTCACCAGCTGTGCTCCTGTTACTGCAGCGTGGGATGCTGCTGCTCCCTTGCTGCCAGGGCACAGCACTGACCCAGGGCTCAGCCCTTTCCAGCAGAGCTCCTCTGGAGACAGTTCTCCCTTTAACTAATATCTGGTCCAGCAGAAGTAGCCAGTACTGCTGGCCATAAACTGGAAATTGCCACTCTTAAAGAATCTAACTTAGAACTAAAAGGGGAATAATTTTGCTGTTTGATTACAGTTTTAAAGCGATTTTTCTCCCTTCTGAATAGGACTTACACTTTCAGTGTCCCAGAACAAGGGTTGGTCCTTTGCACACCAAAGAAATATCAAAACTGTGGGAAACCTTTCTGAATGATTAGTAACATCAGTACTTCCAGTAAATTAAGCATATCAAGCTACAAAGTGAAGGCATAAAGATTAAATACTGCCTTTTTTTTTTTTTTTTTTTGAGAAGTATAGCACAAACTATGGGAAACAGCTAAAGGAAGAGTAAAATAATTTGGGAAATAGTTGTTGATATGGGATAACTGCTTTAGAGTATCTCATAGCATCAACCTGCCTTGGCTTCTAGTGTGTAAGAAAATAGATCGTGTAAGAACATAACATTGTGCAAGCTTACCTTTACAGTGTGAACCCTCCTTCCTCCACCTCTTCCTGTTCTCAGACAACAGGGTAGGGTGGTTGCTGTCCCACATTTTCCCCCAGGCTTACCTACTTTTGTCCTTTACAGGGTCTCAGCAATTGCCACAGCCCAATACTAAAGGGGGAGCAGGAGGGGGAACAGGACAGAGATGGATGAGACCAAATAAAAGCCCAACCCACAACACACATGTTGCTCTACTCCAACATGCTGCTCACAGCTCGAACTGGTCAGTACCCCCCTTATATACAGGAAAATATCACAGGAATTGGGAATTCCTCCCACCTCTGGGGAGGCTGGTGGAAGGAGAGGAGGACACTTTCATGTCTCCTATTACTTCTAGGGTGGTTTGGGCTTTGTTTGGGGTTTGGGTATTTTCTTTTTTTGTTGCATTTTCTTGGGGTTTTCTTTACTTTTTTCTTCTTTGAACCAGGTTTCCAGAAATTGCTGCCAAACTAGTTCTTGAGCTATCAGAAACTTTTATCTAGTGCCTTGAAAATACTGGATGTGCAGTGACTATTTCCCCTCCACTTACTTCTCCCATTTACTGTCCAAGATTTCATTATTCCCCAGAACACACAGCAAAGGAAGAGACCCAAGGTCTGCTCCTCCCTCCACCCCCAAAGCAGTTCAATACCTGATCAATACACACACACACACATTCAGCACCAGGAGACAAGGACACCATATTTCTCTAAAGGCATCAGTTATTCCTCAAGCCATTCACTCTGTCACAGGCAGCAGAGCTATGAAAGTTGTTTCCTACCTGCTGGATAAACATGCACCAAGCATTCTGATCAAACACTGTGACTGCAGCTGCTGCTGGTGCACTGGGGTGGGGCAACTACCTACACTCATCTGAGGAAAGCTCTGAAAACACAATGCAATTGGGAACACACAGCTGTGAAATTCCTGCATAATCACTGGAACAGATCACATAATACAGAGCTGGTCCAGTTCAAGCCATCAAGAGTCTAGGAAAGGAAAATAAGAGAAAGAAATGGCAAGCCCTGAAAAGGCTTGACCATAAGCAAGGTTTTGCCTCCCCTTCTAAACTTTTTATTCTAATCCATTTCAGCAAAGCTGTTCATTATTCTCCATTCTGCCAATACCTTTAGCTACAGAAAAGAGTTTTGGCTTGGGGGAGGCACGTTCATATTAAAACCAAGGCATTACCCCTCATGTCAGGTGGACTTTTCTTTCCTGCTAGAAAGCCCCCTGCAGAGGTTCAGGCTGCTCAGAGGACGGGCACTGGCATTACTCATGTGCAAACAGGCTGCTGAAAACAGGTGGGACAGACCCATCTCCAGCAGTGGCCAAAAGAGAGGGCCCAAGTGATGCAGACATTTGGAATTTCCCCAGTCCCTGCCCTCAGGCACCCACCTTCTCATTGGAGGACAGCTCAGCAAGGGAAAGAAGATAGAAGAAAATAAGACACATGGTTGAGGGGAAAGAATCTGAGCAATTCAATTTTGCAAGCAGTCTGCATATGGAAACTTGAATATCCAATTAAGTTTGGCAATGGCATGGGGGTTTTACACATAGCTGGAATTAATTCTTGTGCATCTTCCTACAGAATATGAAGCAGCAGTGTAACTAATTCATGTCAGATGGGATACTAAAGCATTCCCTAAACAAGAGATTCTGGTATAAAGCCAACATATAACAAAAATAAAATTACTGCACAAGTTCAGTAGCAGCTATAAGTGCTATATAGATGGCACTTACGTCCATGAATGATTTTTTGCTGCTCTTGTTAATTTAAAAGGACATGAAACTCATCCAAAACAGTAACTGGTGGTGTTCTCTAAAACCAGTTGAATTTACCATGTTAAAAAAAAGCATCTATTTTAAAAGACAAGACTTCTTACTGTACCCTTTATTATACCTTATAAAGGTATAAAAGCAGTGCAGTACCAAGATGACTACGTGTTCTTCTGAGGGCTACAGAGCCCTCAGCTGGCATCTGCACACACCTGGGATTGATTTTAGTGAGCTTTTCCCTTAAACCAAAGTTCCTGAAAAGGAGGAATCCCTAACATCTTACCCCACCCCTCCACTTGTCTCAATTGCTCCTAGATACATTTGTTTGCAGGAAAGTACTGCAGCCATGTGAACTGTGACTCTTCAGTTTATTCTTTTTATTTACTAACTTGCTTTCTAATACACTAAAAGCTGCCCCTGGTATGAAAAAAAGTGTCCCAAAAGGGTTTCATTCACTTTTCAGGCCAACTAAATCCTTACTCTGTGCTGAAAATGACAGCCAGAACAACCAAAATCATCACCACAGGTACTCTTTTTTTCCTTCCTTTTTAAATAGGTAACCAACAACTTATTTTCCCACTGAAAGTTACAGAGGCTATATATCAAATTTGAAAGCTCCTCAAAATTTCAAAGTCGATGAAAGCCAGATTCTAGAGGGAGACAACATGGGTAAAAAAAAATATCAATACACATGATATTTTAATACAAAATATTAGCTTTTTTCTTTTTTTTTTTACACAAGTCAGTTTTTTTAAAATATAGAACCTTAGAAAATGAACAAATTGCTATCCACACACTATAAACACTTGTTTGTGCTCAGTTTGATCAAGTTATCAGAACAATTGAAACACCAGTCCATAGTTTAAACACTGCCTTGAAGTTGAATGAAAGCTATGCCGCACTGTGCGCTACCATTATTGTATGTACAGTGTGAAGCGCCTTCGGTCAGGTTTAAGAGTAGGAAAAACTGTTCAGTTATCAGGTTCTTTGTGCAAGGATTTCACGTTCTACTCGTGCTCATGACAGATCTGTATTACATTGCAGTGGCACTGGTATGAGCAACCACATGTAATTCTGTGAATGTTCACTGGAAGAATGTCCGTTACATGTTCTGGAAGTACAAGTTCTTCAGCTAGACAAAAGAAAACTTGTTAGTTTAGGGGAAACACTAGCCTGATTAGCCAGAATTTAACAATGTCTAAGCACTGAAATGAATTTTGATTTCTCAAAGTTGAATAAAAGTCATTAACTATCACATTTTCATAGAGATTAACTGTGTAGCAGGTACATCTCAGGAATATTTGTAATTGCCCGTTTTTTGAACCCATAGAAAGGAAAAAATTTCCCTCTGAGTTGGAGGTCTTTAAAAGGTCTTGTTTTAGTAGTAAATCATCCACAAGTTGCAGGTTGTTAGCCAAGTAGATTTAGGATGATTTACTTGCATTACAGTAATTTACACAATTGAGCTTTAGGCATACAGTACAAAACTATGAACAAAAAGGTGAAGCAAACTTTTTTATTTATATTCAGGTAAAAACATTAACCTGATGAAGTAAATTATTGCAGATTTGAGAAATCAGCACATAAAACAGTTGGACAGAGCATTGCTTACAGGTGCTTTATCTGTGTCAAAAGACAAAGGCTGAACTGCTTGTTCCAAGCTAGCACTGGGGGGGAAGAAAAAAAAGAAAAAAAAAAGAAGAAAAAACTACAAAATTAATCATGAACTTAGATCAAGAACAAGAAAACTGTTTACTTAAACAGGGAATGGAACAACTAATTTGTCTTTTAAAAAACTTTACATCAATTGGAAATGCTCTGGCCTTACCACAATACACACTGGCCAGCCCAAGCTGTTGGACTTCAACTACATGAAAGAAATAATTCTTCCTCACCTCCAGTAAGAGGCTTTTGCTGCCTGAATCACTGTGTAAACAGCTCTGGAGCGCCGACTGGTAACGACTGTCACCATTATAACCTACCACTACAGTAAAACTATGCTATAAGAAAGGTTCTACCTAGTTACAAAGGCTGAATTATATTGACAATATATATTTGATTTCAGTAAAATTTAAATTATCTTAATCAGAGAAAGAGGCACGGAGCAGTTAAATGCCCATGCTAACCAAAACATAACAATTGTTGAATGTTGCACACAAAAAGAACCAAGTGAATTGCACATCAGACAATACATGAGGATGGGTAAAATTAGAGGCAGGTGAGGGTACACAGAACTAGTCTACTAAACTAGATTCGTCAAATACATGTTGTGTTTTAATTTCTGTACTTATGTACAAAAGTTGTCTTTGGAGGAAAAACTTCAGACTTAGCTAGATGGATACACACAGCCCAGTATTAAACTGCACAGCGACATTTATTGTTCCAGCCTGGAAAAACATCCCTTTTTAAATTTCACACAGCAAAGCAAGTTAAAAACTTCACTCATCAAATAAATGATAATTTAAACAAGAACTTGCTAAAGAAACCTTGTCACAACAACTTTTAGGGCCTGATCACTTTAAGTCCATAGGGGCTTTTAATGAATATCAACCAAGTGTCTTTGTTTATAATCTGCAAGCCGTTTTTCTACAACAAGAAGGCGTAACACGTTTCCTTGACTCAGGTGATATATTTAGAAAAGAATCATGAGTTTTTCTCTTTTGCTGTAACAGGCAGACATTGCATTTTTTCATTGTGATCAGGAAAGATGGAATGACTGCTGCCCTTCTCTTGCAGCTATCAAGAGTTTTTCACGCATTATCTCAATAGTTGAATAGTCCGGCAATTTGAGATAGTTCACACAAGTCATTACTGAGGGTAAGAAATCATCTGGATTCTCTGTAGACTCAAAAGTCTTGCGTACAATCGTCAGGGGAGGGTTCAAACTTCGAAAACCTGGTAATGAGAAAACACAGTCAGAATAAGGTTGCTCCTCTTGAAAACCCACAGCTGACACTGCAGACATCTATCAGTGACAGCAGCACACACAGCACAGCTGAACCTTTGCAGGTTTGGGATATGGCTTAATAAGGCCAAGCAGCAACCTAAAAAATACCTGAAATCCTGTCTGTAGATTAGATTTCCAAGATGAATTTAAAAGAAGAAGTAAGTTAGATGAATCCACTCTACTTTTAATTGTGGTCTGTATATGTAAAAACGCTATTCCAATCATAATATCTTAAAGACTTTGTTGGCTTCACACACGTTTTAAGATTCTGAGGAATTTTCTATGACTGTAATACCTTATTTGTTTTTACTCCAGCTAAGGTTTTTATACTCCTAACCTTCAATTCTCTCTGTGCCATCTCTCCATAAAAGAGCTCTAAAAAAATACTTTAAATATTAAAAAAAAAAAGTCAACTCTTTCCCCCACATCCCAAAGCATGTAAGTAATGGAACAGATGCATAAATTCTGTTTTTACTTGCCAGGGGTTCAGCTGAGAATACAGTAAAATGTGTATTCTACAATGGTCCCTAGCAAAGACAGCAAATTATTCTGTTTTCCTCCCTGCCTCTCACCTGAATTCTGAAATTCAAAAGGGGGAGAAACTGAATAAAATTAATACTATGCTAGTATTGTCTCCTTTCTAGGAAAGAGATTTTTGTTTCCAGGTAGCAATGCATCATTTTGTTGACATAACTTAATGCACCTCTAGCCAAGAAATACAGTATTAGGAGTTTTTAGTTTTGTTTAAATTTCAAACTAATTTTTGCCCTCTGATAGGTTTTCTGGTAGCAAATTAAACCTGGAGAGTCAAATGAATAAAGTATCATGAGATTAACACAAAGGTTATGAAAATTATACCTGAAGTCTACCCAGTCACCTCTGAAATTAGAAATGTCAAACCAGTATGAGCCTCTAATAATTTTCTTCCTACACTGAAGTAATCCACTTACTCTGAAATGCATTATTAATAGTGATTTCATATATAGCAATATGTAATAAGGAAAACCTACCTCCTACAGGCAGTCTGGGGCTCCCCGTCACAAACTGAAGAAACAGTCTTTGCTGCTCACTGTCAAAACTACTGAGAATTTCAAACAGATACTTCACTGCTCGACTGAGGAGGGAAAAGAACCAAGATGACATTGCTTTGTTTATCATTAGAATAACTGCATCAGATTCATATTCAGTGCAGTATAAATATTTTCAAATAAATTTTATATAATTCTTTTAGCTTGAATAACAATATATCAAAGTTATTTAAATATGTATTTTCTACTGGTTTTGGCTTTTTTTTTTTTTAAACAAGACCAACCCCACGTTACCTGTCATGTGTATAACCGTGATCAGGCCTGCAACATTCCATTAAAGTCTTTGCATCCCAAGTGTCTGTTTTGCTGCCACACAAGAGCTGTTCCAACTATAAAATGAAACAAAAAGGAATAAGTGCTCCCCTTTAGAACTTGAGGCAGAATGAGTACTGTCTGTTCTAAACACTACTACAGTGCTCCACTTCCTGGGATGGCTTGGTGCAAAACCAACTCTGTCACACCAAGCAATCCATCCAAATTCTTTGGATTCAGTAGCTTCATCCCAACGACTGTCTCATCTCCTGAATCTGCCTTTGCACACAATCCACCACCATACGAGATGCAGAATCTCTCTCTTAGAACAGAGACAGTCCTAATAAGCATTTTACACTGGAGAACCAAAAATGCCATGCAATCTCAATTTTTAAAGAAATCTGGAGGAATGCGAAGAATAGAGTGTTTACACTCGCATTTTAGAACTGTGAGATCTTCCTTGAAAGAAAAAAGAACAGTCATTAGATAGAAATGGATCTGTCAGATAGCAGTTCTGTACTTCAGTTATTTTGCCTGTTCTTTCTATGGATTTGGGCAAGCAGAGGTGACAGGCTACAGTAGCCAAAACATTAAAAGTTTCTGCTGACATCCTTCAGGATACACAAGGAGTTGTAAAGCCCCAGTCTCAGTAACACCAGAGGTCTGACACTATAGCTGTTTTGTCCATAAAAGAATTTTACAAGTTCTTTGTAATAGTTTAGGCATGGCTTGTAAAGAGGTTCAAATGGCTGGACAGTTATCAGCAACAGAACATGAGACCACACACATATATTCCATCAGGGAAAAGCTCCATCTCAGTCTATTCCTGCGGCTTAAATTTGATCAACTGTATTAGCAGATTAGCAATAGACCATCATCTGCATTTGAAAATTGCAAGGGGAAGCAAGCATCAAACCATGCCAATGACAAGACAGAAAAGCATCACACATACCACAAAATGGACAAGTGGATAAACCAGAATAATCTGCCATTTTTACTTGCCTTGAATTTGTTGCAGAAAAAAAAAAAAGTGGTGGTGCCTTTGAAAGTAGTACCAACAGAGATGCATAAAGAATAATCACTAGAGTAGCTACAGGCCTCAGCTTTAGGAGACTCTTACATTGCAAAGCACCAAGAACATGAGAGTAACAGAGAGGCTTGGCTAACACACTGTTTCAGAGCATGCTTTAATGTTTGTTCTTGAAGTCAAAGGTATAAGTTTATAAAGGTAAAAAAACCCTCAAAGTACAGTCTTCAAATAGACTCCTTAAAGGGAGAATAATAAAACATTCTCTCTTCTAGTCCAGACAACCATAATTGCAACTCAATTCAGTCCACTTAAGACTGCAAGCATTTTACAAGGAAATTTATATGATGGTGGTGAGAACAGGGTAAGACAAACTATCCTTATTCTTTACCCCTTCACCTGAATCTCTTCTTATTGTCTAAAGCTTTGTTAAAGAGCTGAATACTTTTCTTACTGTTTTCATAGAACATCTAGGTAGCATCCACATCTGTGGATAGCTACTCAGAGGTACTGCAATACAAGGAATTAGAGTATCCATGCCAACACAGAGAGCATGCATATATAAATTCAGGCACTTCTCTCAGAAAAGCCGGAATCACACAATTTTAAAGAAAATGGAGCTGCTCACAAAAGCATTAAATAATTGACCACTGAACACAGAAATCTTAAAGTATGCAATTTCAGGGACACTGAGTTTTACTAATGTGCATTAGAAAGGTAATGTCATCAACTGTCCCAGATGCCCTGCACACAGGCTCAGACTGCCCATACACAGATAAGGTTACAAAAACCTCAGCAAAACCACATTCACCAACCTCCTCAGGGTAGAAGTATTGAAGATGACTGAGGGGAAAGACCGATTCAAATCCATCTCTGAAGGAGTCAAATTGTCTGGCAACACCTTCATTTAGTGCCCAGAATATAACCAACTGCAGGGAAAGAAAAAAAAAATAAAAAGGAAAAACCAATCAATTTGAACGAAGGAAGCATGGAATGACCACAACTGTACAAAAGGGTACAGCTGCAGGAACAAAATTCCAGAAGTCTCACCATACACTCACTGGAGTTTCAGCAGTTTGAACATGGATTTATGGAGCTGCTCTACAGCATTGCCTCGTTCTGCTTTCATTCATAACTTAGATTACCCTAAACATGGAAGTCATGCAGAATTTAAACAACTTATTTGCCTTTGTTTTTGACTGAACAAATAAACAGAATTCAGAATAGCTGGTTAAAATGAACCTGCAAACCTGAACACTTACTATTTTTAGAAGCCTAACCTAGGTGTTCTCTCTCTACACCATTTAAAATTCAGTAACTGAAGCAGAAATCCTTAGGGCATCATTGGCTATTATATTAGTTCCCCCACAGAAATATATGGATCCCTTTTCTAATACATAGTTTAAAAAAAGTAATTCTACCCTGTTTGATATATTAAGTAGCTTAATATTACACGAATACATGGGAACAAAAGAAATACCTTCCTTTCAAGTTACAGGGATATGGTTAAGAATCAGAATGCAAAAGGCAGTAAGACACTGGTCTGGGTTTTTTGAGTGCGATTCTTCTGTTTTGTTTTGGTTTTGTATCTGTAGTTACTCCCTCAATATTAAATTCACTTCCAAAGTGGACAGCACATACTAAAACAACAATCAGTGGGGGGAAGGAAGGGAATATGGCACAAACAAGATGAAATTTCTTTTAAATAATCTCCCACAGGCAGTATTGCTCTATTAAATTAAGAAATTATATTGTACCGAGTTCATATTCTTTTGTCAGTCAGTGCTTTTGATGATTACATTTGCCTTATATACCCTCAACTCTAGCAGAAAACAAAGGCTGGTTGTAAAAGATATGTTGTCAACACAGATCTACTAGTTTTAAAATTTGTTAAAAGCTCTGACATGTGATCTTGATTAAAGTTATCTGCATATGAATGTGATTAAAAACTCTACAAATATTGCTGGACTCCTGAAGCACGTATTTAACCCTGTCCCAGTTACTGAAGAGTTACTTGTTTCAGAAAGCTCTCAAGTACAAAAGCTCATTAGGATCTGTTGATAAGCTTTCCTACAGAAGGGACTGAATTTCAGTTGTGTAAGATACACACTCCTACTTTCACACACCACATTTTACTCCTGAAGAGGACGGCAGGAAGCACCAGCAGCACAGAAAGCTGTTCTGTAACACAGAACATTCTATGGCTATTCTAACAGCACAGTTGCTTACCTAGAATTGTGATTACTTTTTATGACCAAGAGCACGTGGCAAAATTAAGCTGCACTGTATTTTTGCAGATTCAAAGAAAAGATCAAATTGCTAGGCAAAAAAAACTACACTATTGAAACTTTTTGTTCACAAATTTAGAAGCAGTAAGTTGGCCTCTTTCTCTGTAGTACAGGGGAGAAGGGGACAAAAAAAGAAAGAAAAAAAAGAGAATAAAGTCTTTCACTATACTGGTAGCTGAAGTAGTTCTGCTTTCTGATAAAGGCAGCTCCTGTGGGAACTGTCCTTTTGGGGAAAAAGGGAGGTGGAGGGTAGAATGACATGATGACAAGAGAGGCATGAAAAGCAACAGTAGGATATTCTAGCTTTATTGACTACTTTTAATGTTAATCCATGCACAGGATTTTAATGAAAATAACATTTTCAAGAGCAGGACAGCTGACCCACAGGGAGCTGTTCAGGGCAGCTGATAAATAAACTGTTTCTAAAACGCAATTCATCATACTTGTGATAGAGAGCACACTAGTTCTCTCTGAAATCTTTTCTATTTCCTTCACATCAAGTGTGCAATGCTATAAGGACAAGGACAGGAAAAACTGCACAGGTGTCCTTTAAGAAAATAGTTCCAAAAGTTTCTTAGAAAGAAGAGGAGGGCAAGCTTTCTGCAGTAATCTGCTTTTCCTTTACAATGCCAGAGGCCTGCAATAGGACAACTACAGGACACGTGAGTTGTCTGCAAGCCTCTCTCAGTGTATCAGACACCTAATACAAGTTACCTGCAAAATGTATGAAAAACAGACTTGAATGAAACTTTTCTCAGTAAATAGAGACTGATAATTCTGTTTCTAACCAACTGTGGTACTTCATATCGTCCACCTGTTAAGTCTGGAAACAGCTTTATATACAAATATATTTAATTTTTAAGTGATTCTTGACTAGCAGAATTTGCTTTCAATAAATAAATACATGAGAACTGGATAGGTAACCATTTTGAACTGTAGGATGAACAGCAACTGCTCAATATTCAGTTGTAAGGATTACGGAATAACTTTGCAAAGTTCTCAGTTCACATGCAGGAGCTTTTATGACCCTTACTGAATTGTTTCTACCAAAACATCAGATGTGTTTTCTTAGTGCTTTAAAACTTCAGTCATCAGAGTGAAAGGGCAGCAAACCAACCCTCTCAGGAAATGCATTATTTAGTAATTGGAATACCATGATCTTTACCTCCAACCACTCATGACTTCAGGGGATAGCACTGCAAAGTTCCTGCCTCTCCTCATCTCTTCTCCAGGCTGTTTTTAACCTATTCCTTTCAAAACTTTCTTAGGGAGAAACAGTTTCCTACCTTTGTTCAGCAGTATCAACCTTCTGTTTTTCTATGCCTTCTGACACAGGAATAAATCAATACACAGGTGTCCTGTCAACTTATTAAAGCAATACTTCATCTTTTCTTTACCTATTACTTTTTATGGTTTGGGGTTTCTCGTGTCTATATTTCATGGGTTTTATTTATTTGTTTTGGGGGGATAAATGGTTTTTTATTGCCTTTTTGACAAAACACTACTGCTGTTATTTTGACTCACAACTGAGCTGATGTTTTCTTTGAGTCCAAAAAAGTTACACTATTATTATAGCAATTCAAAGGTTAGCAGATGCTAAATTACTATTGCTAACAAATTCACTACTATAACCCAGATGTGGGAACTTGTTAAAATGTTCTGAAATTCCATAGCTGAAATGAGTCCACTTACAACACTTTCTCCAAAAACCCAAACTTCTGATGACTTAGTTTTTGTACTATAAAATTTTCAAGTCAGGTGCACTGACTAGGATTCAAACAATTTTTCTGTAGTAATTAAACTTGTACAGAGAAGAAATGACCAGTAGGAAAATTACTGCAGTGCCTAGTTCATGAGAACGAACTGAAATATATATGGAAACAAACTACCAGGGAGCAAGAATAAAGGGAATTTTAGTCCTAGGTTTGCTTTTACATACTCTGAGATACTCCTCTAAATTGTGGATGGTGACCGGTGTATCTTTCCCCCCTTTCTTCAGTTCTATATTGGGAAACCCAGGAAGTGTGAAGTCCAGCCCTAGATCTTCCACTGAGCAGCCATTCATAGTCAGAGCCTCCAATGCATACTGTAGACTTTCTTTGGTCTAAAAAATTGGAAGTGAAAACCAATGAGAACAATTCATTCAAATTAACTCATCCAAAAGTTAAGCAGATGTTTCTATAAGAATATTACCATTAAAACTGTTACAGTACTCCTTGCTTTCCTTCCATAGTTTTCATACATAACAGTAAATCAAGACAAACCAAATAAACCAGCTTAATGGATAAACTGGAAAGATCATAGGAGTACACTTTTTTCTAGCAATTTTGGGATTACTTTGACTTCTTGCCTATTATGTATCTAGAAAATACTACTGCAAGATAAGGAAGCGTGTAACAGGCTAAGGCTCTTAGGCTACATGTTTGCCTTAGAACAGTTAACAGCATTGAGATTTGGCATGCATACTGACATTTTTCAGCCTTCATCCATCAAGTTTCAGGTTTTTCAAACTCTTGTGGGGAAATTAAAGGTGGTGACAAAGGAGAGATAGTGAGACAGTGAGGTGAAGAGGAACAAAGACCCACAAGCTTGCAATAACTTCACTAATAACAAAGCAGATGTATTAAGAGTATAAATTAGGTTATTAACTGCTACCTTCTATTAACATCGGATGCTAGAAAAAGCATGCATGCCAAAGACCTTTCATCACTATTCTGCCACAGTGAATTGTACTATTTTCAGCTAAAAGTGGATAACCTTGAGAAAGACTTTTCTGTATGTCTAACAGAACCTGTACCCTCATGCATTATAACAGTTTACACAGTTCTGCATACAGCTCTTCAGGGTAGGAGGGGAAAATACCCCAACACAAAAGGCACTTCTAAGAAAACCTGAAAATTTGACTAAACCAATTAATAAAGCCAAACCTTTTGAACGCTCAAGAATCAAGGACAGATTTTTTTCCTCTGATATTTAAGTTGGTTAGTCTTTTCAAAGTGAACCAAAAGAGAAGTTAGGCAAACACCTGACAGTTTTACAGATTTCTAGACTGTGTTTAATCACACAAAAGAATCCTATAACGTATTGCTCGTGCTAGGCTTCACAAAAAGATTGTTTTATAATTACTAGCCACTGATCCAATAACATTAAAACTACTTTGCGTTAGAATGAAGTAATTATCACTATTATCATCAGTATTAAGTCCTATCATACACTCTGAATTACTCCTACTTTGTAAAATCCAAATGTGTGAAACTGCACTCTTCCATTCTTAGGGTAACTTTCCCACCTGTGTTTTATCCTGTTCAAGTCTTTTCTTTTGTCTCACAATATCTTCAAGGTGATATATTGATTTGGCTACTACTGGATCAATACTGAACAAGTCATGTGATGTCAAGGAAGTTTCCTGTCGCAGCATCCACTTATAAAAAGGAAGTCCAAGAGGAAGGTCCACCTGGAAACCAAAGCACTGAACTGTTTAGTATTGAACTGTCTTCCAAAACTATATCTTTTGCTATCTTATCTCTTCACTAGACCTAGAATACTATTTACTATTTCGTCCTTCCAGCACACACCAAAACACCGTGTCTGTTTTTGCCTCAGAAATTTACAGTTGAGAAAACACAACTGACTGCTTAGTGCACATTCATTAAAAGCAATCAGCAAACTTGCAGCTTGGAGAACAATAAGCCCAAAATGATCTTGAAAGAAGACTGGATAGAGCCTGCAACATGTGCCAGGTAATGGCTTTTCCTTTTTACACTATGGGCTCAAAAGCCACTGTAAAGATCTTCAACATATGCTACCCTCTCCCCCCTCAAAAGTTCAGCTGCATCCCTGTCCTCCTCCCCACCCTCCACCAAACTGCACTTAATTCTAGAGCTGAAAGCAATACCATTAAACTCTTAACGCTTTTATCGTTCAACACTCAGAATTACTATTTTAATTTGACCCCTTCAGAATCATATTTTATACTTTATTCTTACCAGTCTAAAATCCATGATTGCCTTGGCCATTAGTTTTCCCAGAAAGCGGAACTTCATTTTAACTTTTGCAATGTGAGCTGGCTTGGCTGTTCTACCAAAAGGAAGTGCAAAAAGGCCTTGAAGGTTATGGATATACTTGGTACCTTCCTGGCTTCCTATTGAGGAAGGAAGAAAGAAAGGAAAAGAAAATGGTTCAGTACATACACTTCTAGTTTCATTCCAGACTCAAGTCTGAAAGTGGCAGACAGTCATAACCTAAAGCTTCTTATAAAACCCCCCCACCCAAACAAAACAAACAAATAAACCCAAACCCAAAACCCACAAAGATAATCACACTCTATCTTGAGGCATATTACCAGGCCACAAACTGAGGTGCTCTTTACAAAACTAAAGTCAGCTTAGAATCAACTCAATATTAATCAATATTGGTAATTCAGACAGTAGAGCAATTACCTTTTGGATTGGCTAAAGTCACTTCTTCTCCCCTCCAAAGGCCCAAGTCTGCTCTCTGTAGTTCCTGAGATACAAGTGCATAGAACTCTAGTGTGGGGCCTAGGCCTGTGCCAACCTTCAGGGGAAGGAGGGTGAGGGGAAAGGAGGGGGAATGAGATAAATAAGTAAATAAATTAGTCCATTACATCAGTCTGAATATCAAAATCTTTACCTTATTTGCTATAAAAAAGACTGCACTGCAAAAAGCATCTAAGAGAACGTAACTACGCCAACATTTACAATACGACAGAGGCAGCTTGGAAAGACCACATGTAAGAGGGAATAACAGTGGAATAAAAGTATTAACCACCTAATTATCATATTATAGAGGAAATGCACACAGTTGTTTGCTTAAGAGTTAGAAAAAAACATGCTCTGCAGAATAAGATTGATTATGAAATTCAGATCAGAAAGAGCTTCTCCAAGCAACTAAAAATAACAACCAAGTGGATTAGGGGTAATTAATAGATAAAATTCTGTAGCACCAGCAACATGAAGGAAGAAGAGTCTGACCACGTCATTCTAGGAAAGTTGTAGCTATTTTGCATTAATCTTCAGTAAAAAGGGGTTAAATTAGACTGCATTGATAGTACTTACTTCATTCTCATACTGGATTTCCAACATGGCTCTTGAACTGCCTAGATCCTGCATCACAGATTCTGCCTGTTTCAACAGCTCATCTCTGTTCACAGTGCGCTACACATTAAAGAAGTTTTAAGTAGTGAAATTATGTCTTTAAGTCCCAGCACCCAAGGCAGTTACAACATGAAAAAAGTCAGTTATGCAAGGTTTTCCACCCCATGCCAATAGTTCCACAGTTCAACAATTTGTAAGCTTATACTTTGATAAAATAATTCTTGCTTCTATATGAAAACTGTTCAGAATTAAAATGCTCCACATAAAATGAAAAACCAATGCCTTACAAGTGTGTCAGTATAACTAATAGGTACTACTCTTGCCAAGAATCTGGCAATAGGACTGTAACATACAGAGAAGTGCTGTCACATGATGTTGTATACCTCAAACTATTATAGGGAGAATAAAACAGAACTACGATACTGAAACCCAAACAGAAAACCCAACACCACCAGGATTCATACATGTTGGAAGCTATATTCTGTTTTAACTTGGTTCTCACGTCTCTTGTCTTTTTTCCCCCACAGGTATTCAAGATCATACAGCATATACAGCAGATCTTATTTTAAGGTAACATCTCTCCAGACTCAAGGCAGGCATCCAAGACTACCTCAATTTAACACAGTTACAGCTTATTATGCTGTGAAAGGAGGTTTACCTTCCACAAATATTTTTGTTTATTCAGGTAACACTTAAGGGTCTAAACTCTGCTGCTTGAATTCTTCTGAAAAAAATCAAGCAAAGCAGAGGTTTACAAGCTAATATGTAGAAATATCACTAAATGTTTCGTAAAACTCAGCCTTCATTACTGGAGCATAGTTTCAAGAATCCTGTGAGGAGCCCAGCTGAGGATGGAGCCGGCTGTAAGGGAGCACTCGCCATCCCGCAGCCCCTCCTGCCACCTCGTGGTCAGCGCTGGGAACACACTGAGCTTCCTGCTCGGGGGCTTTAGCGATTAAAAACCACCTCCCCTCACCGCTATACCACCAAAACCTCCAGCTTCACAAATAAATCTTCCTCACATTTATATTCTTAAAGACAATATAAAAATAAGCAGATCGTCCATTCCATTTGAAACAAGATGTACTTACTTTTTTCCTGTCCAGCCGTGGTGCCACTCTGCTATCCTGAGAATCCGACTGATTGATTTCTGGATTAGTATCCAGTAGTCTTTGCATGGCTCGATCACGATCGAAAGCGGTTACATAAAACAGCATTTGGCGGGTATCAAATGGAAAGAAAAATGGGCTGTAAGGAGCAATGGATTAGTTAGCTGTGTTCCATGTAGCATCTATGACTTTCATTTAGTTTAAAACAAAACAGAAACGTAGTACGCCTGCAATTAGTGCTTTACTATACACTGTGGTGAGAGCAGCCTCCATGAAGGAAGCCTTCCAGAACACACTTTAGGTTTAGCTACAATGCTTACGAGCAAGAGTCTAGAGAAATGCAATAAACGAAGGAGCCACAAAAAAATTCTAACTCTTCTTCAAAAATAACTCAAAATACTTGAATGCCTCGGCTATGCAGTTTACATCAGAAAATAAAATTCCTTGTTCACAACTGTTTTATTTTTACTGAGTCTAATGGATCAAAGATTTTAAGAAAGTGGCTCCAGCTCCTGTATTTGGCAGTGGGAAGGCATGAGAACCTGCTTGCAGCAGCACCAGTATTCTACCTTCCACCATTTCCAAAATATTTTAAATAATCTGTAAAAGACTACCAAAGAAACTTAATTTATCACTTCCACTATTCTCAAAGGCATGTGTATGTTAACTGTAGTTCTCCAGTAGCATTTAAGTGAAAAGGCAGTTTTATGGAAAAAATACTGCTATAGATGTTTGTATAAGAATATACACTCATACTCATCATCTATTATCTGGAATGTTTATGAAGGACTTTAGAGATCTTATTTTAAAAATGAAAAGCCAAACAGATTCTCTAGAGTACGTATTTCCAGTCAGTTGTCATCAATGTTGTTGCAATTAACATGCTTGAAAAAGCCAAGAATGTCAATTCTGGTTCCTCATTTTTTCAAGTGCAAGAGCTTTACAGCTTATACTCTGTATCAAGATACTAAAAAGTACTATGAATACAGCTTCATAAAAATTACCTTGAATATTTTATCAATAATGATAAATATATTTTCCTTTGTACCATAGCGAATATGTCATGATAAATGCAGTGGTATGGTAAGAATGCCATTAAGCAGTTTAACAGGAGAAAACCACCACCTGAATAAACAAGTACCATAATTTCAATGAGAAAACTTAAAATTGCTCAGAAACTCCCATAAGAAGTTGCCCAAACTTCACAGCTAGTCTACCCCTTAGCAGGTGGCTTAAGTTATGCAATATAGGTGTAAACATCCATAGGAGTGTCACTGATGTAACTTGGCAAGACTTCTGTGACAACATTTTACCCTCCTCTGCCACAAGAGTTTTGTAACGTGTGATGCATTTGTGCTGCCCAGTCAAGAGGCCTACTCAATTCAAATTAGAGACACTATGCAGCAAATCATCCATACCATGTTTTCCCCAGTTCTGTCAGCCAAGTTGGTATGTTTCCTGTCATAATGACCAAAGGATCCTGAAGCTGCCTGTTTGCTTTTGCTGTCAGTTTGCTGTTGATAAACTCTGAGGTTGGAATTATCTCCTTGCACACTGCATTCTGTGTTAAAGAAAAGCAATGTATTTCTAGTTAGAGAAATGCTGAAAGAAGTACCAAGTCTTTATTAAGACATCTCTTTAATGCTTATAGTTTGCTTATCATCACAAGAAAAAAAAAAAAAAACTTTGTCATTTTGGCCATCCAGAGTCTAAGTCATGAAAGAAGGACTCAGTGGAGTTTTACTGCTCGTTTTCTTTTCAGGAATAATGTTGGATTTTGAACCTAAAGAAGGAAAAAGCACAAGAAGTGTCTCCAACACACTATAGAGAAAATACGGTCGATTATAAGAATTTACTGCCTTTGTCTTATCAGGAGTTAGAGAAACATGCAAGGAAGATTACAGTAATAATTTGCATTATTCCATCGTGTTGGGGGGCAGCAACAGGGGAAAAAAGTTATTTAAGTTGTTTGAGGACATTATTATGATGAAAGGGATTTAAAAAGTGCTTTACTCACATCATACAAGTAATACCAGTATCGACTGATAGCATGTAAAACTCTCAAAAGAAGAATAACATCTAATGAGGGATCTTCAAATGTTATATTTTCAGGTGGAGTAGATATGAGGTAAATTTCCAGAGGATTTAATACCGAAGGGCATACACCATCTAGCAGGAAAAAAAGAACATGTTAGCAAAACAAATCAGTTGGCAGTCTTCCTAAGATTTAATTATTAGGAGTCTAGGTAGTATTAGTCATGGCATTCACTTAGCTACAACAGTTTAGTTAAACAAATCAGTATATATCTTATTTTTAGTTTTAATACACAGATTAATATATGTTTACTATTCTTATACTATGCTTGCTTTAAAAGAAACACTATGGTGTCTGTAAACATTCCTGTGAAATTTCTGCAAGGAAGGGGAGGAAAGCTAACATATTAGCAAGGCAACACACTCACCATGCCACAATTCATCATGTTTTTTAGAATTTCTAGGGGAGGTTTTTGTGGGAGCAGTTTGTGCTCTTCCTCTTTTACCACCAACACAGTCCTTATTACCGTCTTCATCCTCCCGCACAGGTTTGTACCTAAAACATAAACAGAAGTTAAAAATACATTTTTGAAATGCTAACTAACACGGAAATGAAAGCACTTATGAAAGTGTTAGTTCTTTGATTACCAGAATTCTACTTGAGTAACAGTTAAAAGCAGAAAGGCAAGAACACTTGCATTTGGATATGATCCAGCCTTTGAAGGTAGGCCCTCAGAAGCAAAGTTTGTCATGAGGGAGAAAAAATGGGGACCCTTCGGCTCTGTGAACTGGAAGGAGAAAAGCAGAAGGTATAGAAAAAACCCCAAAGTGACTGGGGTCTGGAGGGGTGGTGGTTGCTTTTTCTGTTTGTCTACTTTTTTCTTTAGCACATTTTAAGATTAGAAAAAGACACTGCTGAACACTGAAATGTCAGGCACAGTTGTAGGTCAGTGCTCCTCTCAAAGTATGGCCAGAGAATACATACACCTGCATCCCAAGCACATCAGGAAATTCAAAAGTCCACAGTTTTGGAAAGAAAAAGAAGAAAGACAGCTATATTCCGATTTTCTTGATGTATATACATTTAGGAAACTGGAGAAGTTATTCCCTGATTTCTCTAGGCAACTTACCAAATGGTATGTGTTTTTGTCCAAATCCCAGCTCTTCCTAATGGGTTGCTTTCATCATCTGTAGATTCCCTCTCCTCCTCAGATTGCAAACTGTACTGCCTGACTGCCTGATACACAGTCATATTGTATGGCAGCAAGTGATCTCCAATGTAAAACTGCAGTCTATGTCTCACATTCCCTGAATTTAAGAATTGAGCAGCCTGAACACAACAAAAAAATACCCATTCAAGTTAGGAAACATGTTGCACAGCTTTCTTTAAGCTTCTCCCCACACTGCTCCCTCACCTTGCTCCCAGACCAAAAGCTTACCAAAGATTCATCTATTTCTTCATCTGACCCATCATCATCACTGTCTTCATCATCTTCTCTAACTCTTCCATAGCCTGAGGCAAGAGAGAAGAAAGATTTCCTCATTAGCTTTTTTTACATGAAATGTGACAATGCTCTGATACTCTGACTTTTATAAATTGCACTGCTTAAAATCATTCCAAAATGCATCAGTTAAAAACAGTAAGATTCAGAAGTGCTAGAACAAATTTCACCAACATCTGGCATCAAAACTGCCAAGCTACAGCCAGTCTGACAGTAAAGTAGATTATACTTCTGTTAGTATTTTGACTGAACTGTTTACAACATGAAACAATTTGTCCCAGAAAAGGGGAAGATTTTCTACAGTCTTAAGTCTCCTCCCTGTGAGCAAGATATATTTATTTATAGGTGCCTCCCATTTGTCTTCAGTGTAATCCCTCACAGGTTTTTATGAACTCTACACTGACAGTAGCAACTATTTCAAGAAGCAAAACACAAGTTACAGTATAATATATAAATACCTCTAACTACAAGGTATCTTTCAATGGCTTGTACCAAAGCCAGAGGATCAATCTTCACAGGTCCACCTTTCCACTGTTTCACATTAGCACAGTCTGGATGTCTTTGCAGTTGGCATTTTAATTGATGTGTATTGAAGAATTTTAAAGCTTGGGATCCTCTGTTAAGAGAAAAACTCAAAATAATTTGTGAAAAAAGTTGCTACACAAAGAATCTAATAACTATAATTGCATTAAAATAGGCTTATACATGCATTTACAATTTCACAGGTTCAGTGTATTATTTGTCAGACTATTTCTGTAAAAATAACTTACTACAGTTTGGACGAATAGCTTAAAAGTTTTCTTCTACAAGAACACCAGAATTCAAGTTGGACAAAATCTGGAAGTTACACAGATTAAGAGAAAGCCTAGCCTGAAGTCTGGTTACAATGGCCTATACTGACCATCTCTGAAATCTGCAGTTGTTCAGATTGTCAGCTGATGCCACATGAGATTTAGAGCTGTGTTTTCCTGCAGTGCAATAAGGATCAGAAATGGGCACTTCCTTCCAAAATGTGAGTATTCATTTATGTTTTTTTCAATAAGGACCTGAATTTTAATGTTAGATTAATGTTACAGTTCGAGGTTCCAATTCATCTAACATAATGGATGTTATGTCACCATAAGTGACAAAAAATCCACACTAATTTACTACCTGAGACATAGAAGACTTTTGGCATTTCTAAAAAGAAGAGCCTTCAAAAATTCATGTTCAATGCTCCTCCTCTCCTAATTTCTACATAGTCATGAGAATATGTCTACAATCAAACTGAGCTTTTAGCCAGCACCAAAAAGTACTTGCAAAACTTCTTTGCAATTTGTACTAAAATAGATTTCCTAACTGTGATACAAAAAATGAAAGCTAGTGTTGATATACCAAAGAAAAGCATAGATAAGAAATTGTAGAAATAGGTCTTTGGTCACTTAAATTTGTTACATAAAGCACAACTAACAAGCTGGATTCCAAATTTATTCTCTATCTTAAGACTCAGGGCAGGTCCACAGCTATTTTAAACTATGTTGACAGCCAAGAGTTATCACTCAATCCATTATCATGCTAGAGAACAGAACTTACATGAGTAACAAAGTTTAGCACTGTAATACAAACTCTGCAGTTTAATGACTTGGTTAAAAACAGTGTCCCAGCAATAAATAGATGGTTTCTTCCCAGTGTTTGTTACATGGGGACAAGGAAGACTTTTGAATTTTTAAACCCTTAAATTTAGAGACCGCATTTAAAGTTACACATCCACCTCCAATCTAAGTCAGAGAAATTTCACAATGGTAAGCAAATCTTTGGTTAACTATTCCATCTTCCACTGAATAAGAAAGCCAACTGTGTAATCACTTCTGTCTTTAACAGGGTCAGAAGTTTCTATTACTTCCATTACCTCTTGGAGGATTTAGTGTTATTTAAACAAGTTTTGGAAAACAACAGCTTCCAACAAAACTGTTACCTGAGCATTAATCCTTACCTGCTCCCTGTTCCATTTCCACTAGGGAAGTCATGCACTTTAACAGGGAACTGTTCCATCTGACTGAGGCAGTTGTTCATTTTATGGACTAATGCCAACAAAGGTGCATTTTCTAATGGCTCTAATCTTCCAAGGGGCTCTTCTCCAGGAAGCTGAAATATAGTCCAGTCTTTTAATTATGTGCCTGAATTAATCCATCTTAAATAATTTATACCACAGATTATTTTAAAAAAGGGAAATTAGGAATCACTGTTCTCACTGAAAGCATCAGCAGTATCAGGATGACTAAATGACACATCACAACATTATGAAAGACCTGTTTCAAAGAACATACTTTTCTCTCCTGGTTTCAATTGAAATGCCCTACAGATTTTAAGCATTCACCCTTAGCCATGAGCAATAAGCTTTGTGGAAGTTGTAGTTATCTACCTTCCTCTCTTCCACTTGAAATTTATTCCTTTAAAAACAGGACACTAGTTTCTTGCAGTATTTAGGACTAAAAAGAACAAGTGATAAGATTACTATCCAAACTCTTTTCATATCAACTTCTTAAACGACAGAAACAACTTGTAAGTTGTTCAAGACTCAGTTAATTGGCCATTTTGGAACTTTTTCCACTGCTGTGTGGAATTTTCTGTAATTACAGTGTATTTGAAAAAGTTCATGACCTATAAAGACTTAGAACCACGTGAAAGTTACAGTGCTATACAGTTTAGGCATAAACAAACATTCCTTCTGTACTCTACCTTTAAAATAAGGTCAACACTGAACCTTCTCAGATGGTTTTTTGAGAAAGAAACTTTGAGAGAAAGACAACTAAGAATTCCAAAACAAAAAACAAGAAAACTTACCGGAGAAGAAAAAAATACATGAAGAAATCTTTTCAATCTGATATCCCTGCTTACAGCATCTTTTTCACTTTTAGATGTCAAATAAAGCAGCAGTTGTTTAACAAACCCACTATGCTGGATTTCAAATGAGGAGACATCGGACTCCGAGACAATGCTACGGATTTCTACAAGGCACTCTGTTCCACCATCCACCTGAGAAACAGGAAGGTAGTGTTTTACTATGCAGGTACTTAGGGCTTAAGAAATACTATTTTTCCTTCTACTGCATGGAACAGCTCTAAAGGGAGGGGGAAAAAGGGAAAGTCCGGAGTATATTGTAACTTAATACAAGCAGCAGCGGGGCAAATAATCTGAGGATAAGCACTTCTCTGTTCAAGGGGAGACATTACAGGCAGCATCTGCATTTTCTCTATTTTAAGAGAAATGTGAGGTGCCATTTTCGTCTCACACAAGGTAAAGATGAGCTCCAAACAGGTGGGTTTTGTTTTAAAAAATAAATAAACACACACACATACATCCCCCAGAAAAAGAAAAAAACAAAACAAAAACAACCCCCACACACACAAAAAACACAATGTACAAAAAAACCCCAAACAACTGGTATATATTTTACATGACTTCCATGTGGGAGAAAAGAAGAGAGAAAGTTACATATTTTAATGATTGCTTAGATCAAAGTACAGAAGATGGCTCAGCTTTTGAGCTACTTCAGATGTTACATGTTTAGACCACCTATCAAGGATCACAACTGTTTGAAAAGCAAGGCTCAACCTCTTGAGATGCTCACAGATTTGCCTCAATCTGTATTTCTTCCATCACTTTAACAAAATGCTACTTCCCTCTTCATCCCCCTCCACCCCCAAAGTTCTTACTACAAACTGTGTTGCTCTTTAGGTATAAAGTCAACCCAAACACTTAACTTTGGAACTTTTAAATTTGAAATAAACTGCTATGTAAGTGACATATTGCTAGGAATCAAGAATATCCTTGTTAATACTGGTCTTTTATCATAAGTGATGTGTGTCAGAGCTTATATACTCATTCCAAAAAATGACTCCAAGTCATAATGAGTCATAAGTCCAGTCAAGAAATGTCTCCCCACTCTAATTAAGTTTGCCATTTCTAACCTGGAGGTTGAGTTGTTCAGTTGCAGTGCAAAGTCTCTGTAATACATTTAGTGCAGGATTGCTTCCATCCATGTTTTCAGAGCTAAAATAATGTTCTACAAATTTATGGGCTTGCTCCTTAATCCAGCCCTTAATTTTTTCTCTGTAAAGAAGAACACAAAAGGCATTTGGCCACACTTAGCATTTCCATCACCAATACTGCAATAAATACAACCAGAGTATGATTTTCTCCATGTTAAACAGCAGTCACAGACAAAAACTCTTTGCTCTTACTCCAATGCCATAAAGTTCTTTTCTCTACAGATCACTTTTTGCATCATTTTTCTCAGTTCTACAATTTTTCCCCACCATGCTACTTTAAACTACTAAGAGGTTATTTTCTCTACCTTTATTTCTTGATTCTTTTTCCAGAGTTATTTTAACTGTGGTTGCACTCAAACTTCCTTGTTACATGGTATGTAATCCTTTGATGCCTTATCACAAACAGCTGCACCTCAAAGTTAACATTATGTTACAAGTACTTTGACTTTTTTGTGTGTGTACCTGTTATTGGAAATGGTATCCTTGGAAGCAGCCCTTGCAAGACCACTTACTCCTGCTGTTCGTGCTGGTTCGATATTATTACTGTTGGACTGTGTGCTTAATCTTCCCCATGTTTTAGGATTTAAACTTGCCAAGAAAGAAGATTTAGGAGATTGAGTAGTTGTAGGGCTTTTAGCTGGAGGAAGTAAAGACAAAATTGAGAGTAACAGGTTTGTTACAGCTAGCACTTTCGGCAGCTTATAAACTTACTTTAGAAGGAGATAAAGTATCACATTTTAAGAATTATTTACCTTGATTGTCTACTTTCTCATCATCTCTTGGAGGAGAGTATTTTGGTCTCCTTGGCCCTCGTTTTGGCAGTCTTTTCCTCTTTAGAACATCACTGAGTCTTCTGTCCAAAGTTAAAAATAAAGAAGCATGTTCCCACCCATCATATTCACAGACATACCCATCTCTTATTTTAAGATGCATCTGCCAGCTACTTCCTCAGGAATTAAAGAACAGGCTCTATCCCATAACATGGAGAATACTCTTCACTCTGGGAGAAGGGGCCTGAACACTATTTGAATTGACAGGACGAAGTGACTGCTCTCACAAAGAAGGGGGCTTGCTTGCTGTCACCTTTCTATTATGAGCAGCCAAATGCAGAAGTGACACTAAACAGAGGTCTCTCATAATTTTCATGTTTTAATTTGTGTAACCATCTGTTTATTCATTTATTTGAATACCCTTAAAAAGAAGAAAAAAAAATCTACAAACCTCTACTGAATAAACACTGAAAGACACTGGATATTTGACCTGCCTCCCTTATTAAAGTCCAGAAAACACTTTTTCAACAATTTGTGGCATTTCTACTCACCAGTCCCTACACTTACAAAGTTCACATATTTCAGTTCTGGTTTAAAGTGACAAACACTTGACCTTTAAAAGGAGGGCAAACTGTGTAACATGAAAATAATTTATTCCTACAAGAGATTTTAATTCTACAAGTGTTCAAAATGGTTGCCTTCCAACAAAGTAACTTAAGGACGATTTCTTTTTTCTCCAGTCTCCAGCAGAAAGGACCTATGCACCATAGCTCTTAAAGAATTGCTCTGTCCTCAAGAGTTAGACAAGACTACAGCTGTGGCTCTTGGCATCCTCCCAAAGCAGCAAATTATTTCATATTATTACAACATAACTATCATGTCACTAGTCCTTTTTTTTCTTTTAAACATTTAATATAAAATTAATCAAAACTACCCTCTGAAAGTTTCAACATCACCCCACTTTAGTTCTTTAGAGGAAAATACCACAGCAAAATGCAGACAACAATATGGCAGCCCATGTCACTCTGGGTTTAAAAAAAAAATAAAAATAAAACCACAACAAACCACCAAATCCAACCCAAATATGTTACTTTTCAGGAAGTGCACTTACCCCTGTGGGCTCAGATCCAGCGAATCCTCCCGGCTGTGCTGTAAGCTGGGAGAGCCCAGATCTGCAGCTGCGTTACTGGCAGCAGTGGCTGTTCCAGTACTTATTGTGGTCGTGGTGCCCAGCGTTCCCGAGCCGTTAGTGCACACTTTTGGGGGGCTCGTTAGCAAAGCCTCAGATTCTGCCAAGTTTTTTACTTGGTGCATCACCCCTTTGCAAAAGAAGAACTCTTTGTTTAGTGGGTTGGTTTGGAGGGTGCAGGGCTGGTGTGGTAGCAGGAACAAGGGTGTTTGAAAATGTAAAAGTCTTATGTGAACCTCTGTTTTGACTCTGGCAGCGCTGGCTCACCCCACCCATCAATACAAAGTTTTAAAAGCAGCTCAACCCTTTTCTCCAGAAAGTTAACCTACATAGTTTAAAAATAAAAAGTTACAGCAGCATGACCAGTAGCTAAAGAAACCCTGAAATCCCCAATGGAGTAGAACACAGACATCCTGCCAAAGATTCATCAGTTTTCTCCAGTAAGACTTCCCATGTAATGAGCTATCTTCAGCCCAGGTCAGTTCACTAGGATCTAGTAAGCCTTGTTTCAGATTCAGAAAACACAAGTTTGTCTCTTCCAGAGTCTTGGTAAGCTCCTCCCTAGCAATACGAGGACAGCTTGCACAGATTTGTCTTTACAATAACAATATTCCATTTTTACAGCTTGGGGAGGTTGGAGAGGAGGGGTAAAGGGTACGGATTCTATACACACACGTTTTTAAAATACTACCCAGAGAGGTGAAGAGAAAAAAAAAAGAAAGCAAGATTTACCTTCTCTTCTGAAGTAAACACTAAAAATGTCAGGTAACTTTTGCATTAAGATCTCTGCCATCTGCAGGGCTCCAACTACTATCTTAAGGTCTTGACTCGACAGCATGGAGGCAATATGACTAAAACAGATAATTTGTTAGAATTAGCTTTGTCCTTTTTTTTGCTGCATTTTTCTTTACAAATCAAGTCAATTCATCTTGCATATACAGCACTGGAGACTGAAAGCAAACAAATTTCACAGAGCTTTTGTAAAAGCTATAAATAAAAGGACAGTCTTCTTCCCACCTAAATCACTTTTAGTAAGTTTTAACATGGCATAAAGAAAAAGAGAGGGTTTCCTCCCTTCATAAAAACGGTGTTGTGCAGCTCAGTACTGCCTTTGAAAAACTATTCAGTTTATTTTCTGATTGTATCCTTTTATCCAGCTCCCTGACTTCAGGCATAACATGTAGGAGAGGCTTCATGAATAAAACTCACCAATTGAATGCCACAACTGTCTGTTACAGCTCACACTGTATTACCTCAAAAGTTATCTTGCCCTTACAGAAGTTCATAGGCAACTCTTAGAAATCAAAAAACCAGTAAAGGGTAATATTAGACATTACCTATGGCTGTGGGTACTAACAATCTAAGTTTCTAGTAAGAATGCCCAGTGTTGGCAACTACTGCATAGTGCCAAAAAATTCCTGCAGAGCTGGTAGCCTCAGCTTTTGGAAAAATACATGAGACTCTAAAAGTATCATTTCCCTCTAAAAAAGATGATTCAAAAAAAGTAATCACAAGTTTTAGTTTTAAGCTCAAAATTAATTTCATTCATGAGAGTTAATGAACCCACCTTGAAACAGCATGGTTTTTCAGAACATCCTTCAGAAGTTCAGCATCAGCAAAATAAATTATCCTAAGAATTGCTCTAAGGCACTTGTGTCTAACAGCAGGTCCAGCTGAAGAACTATATACTTCATAAAGAACACCAAACAATGTTTTGATAAAGGATTTTGCCAGTTCTGGGTCCTCTTTCATTAACTGTGCTCGAGCATCATCCTTCTTCAATTCTGAATGTCCACCTGTGAGAAAGTGTGTAACAAAACACTGTTTAGTTCTTTGCATCTCTGTTCTGAAGATTACTTTCTTCCATTCAAGCTGATTTAATTCAGCTCTTAAACTGAAAAGATATAATTTAAGAACCAGAAGTCAAAATCATGGCAAGAATGTAGGTACAAAGCCTCCTCTTTTAAAGAGTTCATTCTTTTTTTCTTTAACTTTCTTTTGTATTTCTGTACAACAGTAAGAGCCCTCACAGAGTCTTTGTTAAACAAAAAAGTTGTATGAACAAAACTGTTTCACAAGTTCGTAGGCCAGGAACACCCCCAGCTCCCTCCCAATTCAATACATTCTCAGTTCCCAGGAAGAGTTTACATGCTAAAAAGCATACGTGTCAACACCAGGAGTTTTGTTAGGAAGTTGTCTTCATTCATATAAATCAGAACAGTTTGATGTTTCACAAAAGCCATGAATTTATTTGTTAAATAGTGAACTGCTGCACAATCCAGCACAAATTAGCCATAGGTAGAGACACCAGGTTTCTCTGAGCTGTACTTACTAGTGTTTGCATTGGCTAAAGGGTTTGGTTTTCGCTGAATGGCACGTGCTGTTCCAGTATCCTCATTTATTTGCTGCATAGAGTTAAAGTCAATAGTATAGACACGCCCAAGTGTAGACAGGCTGATCTCATCCTCACCAACCTGATGAGCTGCCTAAAACCAAGGAAGAGTTCAAAGTTAAGAAATCCCTAAAAAAAAGAAACTATATGAAAGGTAAGGAGGGGGTAACACAGTAGGAAAAGCAGTGACTGACAGAAATACAGTAAGAACAGTGATTAAGCAATTAAGTGATTTGGGATGACAGAATACCAAAATAGTGCAATACTACAGCAGGATGTTTGAGCAAACTTGTGTTTCTTACTCAGAAGGATCAAGAGTGGTATTCTCAAAGACGTAAAGAAAGCACTCAATTCCCTGTACAACCGCACGCGTATTTTAAAAGCATCACCACACAAATGTGTGGAATTACTACCTCTATTATTCGACTATCAATCCTGTTATAGGGATGCCAGAGACCCCTGTCATCTCGCCATTGCCATATTGCACCATCTGTATTTTGTGCATTTCCTTTCTTTAGCATAGTATCAACAGCAAAGATTCCCTCTTTTGGCAGGCAAGGCATCAGTTCACTGTAAAGAACATTAAAACAGTATTTTACTAGAAATATACAATCAAGTCCATCTAAGCTGAAAACTGTTTGCCTTCATTTTAGTGAAGTTAGGGATTTCAACATATCAACCAGACTCAAAACCTAGGACTGCAAAACTTACCAGATAAGAGAAGTAAGCTCATAAAGTTCTTGAGGACTGCGTGGAACAAGGTCAATTTGTTCTTGACAACTCCCATTTGAGGCTCCACAAAGGAGGAAGTGAAGAGTTTCTGCAATATCTATAAGAATTATTATTCATGAGATTGCCTGCATCAGAATATGGACTCCATTTCCTGTTGGACACTACACAGTTACTGCCCAAAGCAAAGAGACAGTAGACAGTAAGACAAAAGCCATCTCTTTGAACAGTGTAAGAAACGTGTTTGTTCTCAGCTCTGGGGTTTGTGGTTTTCTTGGTTTGGGGTTTTTATCTCTAATGGACTTCTAGGGGAGAAGTGTCACTCAATATACAGCACACAGAAGAAAACAGGGAAACATACAGGGCAGATTAAGTGACAAGTCAAAATTTATGAGATGAAACAAGGAAAACACGTGACAACTAAGACAGTTGTAGAGCACCTACTTTGTTAATGTTTTACTTTAAAAAAAGTACTTAAAGCACATGGTCCCCCCATACTGTGTAGACCACAAAAAGAATTATTCAATTTGTATTGGAATGAGAGTAATTTGTGCAGCTAATACAGACTCAAAATTAGGTGAGCACTCCAGTGACAACAACTAGATAGGAAAGGGCAGAAAAAATCCTCTGGATAAAAGTTTTCAAGAAGTTTAACTGAACTATATCTCAGGGGAAGCATAGTAAGAGAGAGAACAATTGAAAGAACAAAATATTTATATAATCAAGTACAGAGAGGTCCATATTGACTGTAGGCATTCACTTGAACAGGTCCCCTAGAATATGAAAGAGTAAGAACTCACTTTGCTTCATGAGCTGGACTGCAAGTGTAGGGCAATTGGAGCACATCAGGGAGAACATGCGCACCACCATGATGAACATTCCTGAGCTCAGGATTGGAGGCGTCACGACCAAGAGTTGCTGGATATTTGTTAACAAGTCCTTGGAAGCAACCTGCTGCAGCAAGTTCTTCAGGAGGGAATAGCAAAATGGGAGACATTAGTCTTTGAAAGGTAAGCCCTCAAGAGAAACAGAGGGAGGGAAGTAAGAAACAAAAATCCACTCCCATCCACACTGTTACCTCCTCATGCTGGAAGTTGTCCACTAGCCGTGCAAAACAGAGACAAGTGCTTTCAACAGACTTTTTGTCCTGTTATAAAAAAAAAAGTTCAGTATTTGTTTGAATTGAAATACATTAACTTGCATTAGATCATCCTGTCATTTCCAGGCATTCATAAAATATCTCCAAAAAGGTCAGCTGAATCATATTTTACAGAACATCATAGCTCTCAATTTTAAATTAATTGATACATTCTAAACTGACCTCTGATATGACTGTGCTCCTGCATATTCCCTGGGAAACACCCCACACTTGCAACACTAATACCATTAAGTGACTTTTAGAGATAAATACATGGATCTATAATATTCTTGTTGGATTCTGCAAGGCGGAAACAAAAGGGAAAGGAGCTACAAAGCCAAGTAACAGGAGATATCGATAATAAGCAGGAGTGAAGGTTACTGTTCTATAGAATACATGGGGCCCATTTTTTATATCATGCAGCACAACCAGCACAGCAAATGCTGAACACCAGAGTAGGTTACCCAGAGAGACTGAGTCTCCACCCTTGGAGATATTTTGAACAAACAAAAAAAATCAGCTGGACATGCTCCTGGACACTCTGCTCTAGCTGACCTTGCAGGGTAGCTAGGACTAGATAATTATCCGATTTAACTATTCTGTTAAGAGCAAACTCAAGATTCTTTTCCAGAAAATTTCCACCTCCAAATTTCTTGAAATCTTACTTTTTGGGGTTGTAGTTTCTCTTCAGAGAGCAAGAATCAGTACCTATCCCTACTATTTCTAAGAATGGTGCTTCCTGCTCCTAAAGTACAATCTAAAGCTGACAACTGACTCGATGAGGCTACTTCAAAGCTTCAAATAGTCTTTCAGCAAGATGATGTTTGCAAAATTAAGAACAGCACAAGAACACACAAAACCATTGCCTGAAAGCTTCCATTAAGTTTATTTGTTAACAAACAATATACCTCTCATTTTTCATCTTTATAATAGGGATCTGCCAGCCAAGTAGATCATTGGAAACCTCTTCTGTAAGTCATAGTAGGTGCTCATTTATGAACACAACAACTTTGCAGGATAGGTAGCATTTAGGAGCCCCGTGATTTAGGATTCATCACTTCAAACTATTGTGCAAGAATAGGAACTTTCTTTTTAAAAAGCCATAAGCCCTCCCAAAAAGTGAAAGTAGTGAAAAAGGACACAAAAATTGAAACTGAAGCTGTTCTGAGTTAGAAGTGGGAGAGAACCTTGCAAGACATTTGTTAAGGAAAAAAAAGCAACAGTAATACTACTAGACTTCCTCTTTCTGATGTCCTTGTAGTTCTTACAAGGACTACAAACCCACTATTATTCATGATCTAAGTTTAACTACTTTATTTATCTCATTTTATAAAATGTCATAAATCCTTACAGCACGCTTACAAACAACAAAAAGCCCATATGCACATTAGGATATTGCAACTTGATAGTACAGAAACTTAAAGACAATTATCACATTGCAAAGGCAAATAATACACAATAAAGAACTAGGTATCTGGAGGCAACTTTATACTACTTTCGCATCAGAATTAGAACTTTCCATTTTTTAACAGCTTCTTACCTGATGGGTTAACCTTTGTGTAAGCAGTGGCAAAGAGTCTGCCACAAAGTGAAACTCATCAGGTGTTATACTCTGGCAGCAGTTGGCAGCGATAGCTAGTGCATTCCTCTGTGCATTTATACTGAAGAATTCCAGATACAGCAAACAGTCTGCCAGCCCACCCTATAACAAAACAAACATTTTCACTTTCAGTGCTGCTGAAGTCACAGAAAGTTGTTTTCTTATTTCACCTTCACAGAAGATCACCAAGATGTGGAAATGGTAGAGGTAAGAGGGTAGTTTTTGTCACTTACTGCCTGCAGAATGGCTTTGCTGTGCCTGCGTGACAACATCTCCAGGGCTGTAAGCGCCTGCTCGGCCACATCAATGCACTGGATAACTTGCAACTACAAGGAAACAAAAAAGCTTGTAGATCAATTTCTAAACCAATCTGTAAAAGTAATCACTTTCATCAACACTCGGACAGACAGTCTCTGCTAAGACACACATGCTGATGAAGCCAGATGGAACCAAGCCTGCCAGTTTAGGCTACCTCGGGTATGAAGCTACTGCAGGAGACAACAGCTCAATTACACAGCGTGTCTGCAACATCAACCTGACAAAGCTCTCAGTGGATCAGACTGCACCACTCAGCGAGGATGGGAACAAAAATTAAACGTGGTTTTAAAAGACTCTTGTGCATTATGTGTTATCTTGCAAGCCGTGAAAAGAAGCTGTTATCTTAACGGTATTTCTTAAAGTTAAAACAAAAGTTAAAATCCCTTCGTACTATTTTGATTTCATTTTACCTTTTCCAAGAAGACAGGAATTGCATCTACCACTACAGCAGATGATCTGGGAAGTGCTTCCATCATGTATGTTAAGGCTCGGCATGCATGATTCATCTATTAAATAAACAAATATTTGGTTTTAAGTTCAGGTGACCTATTTTTGCATTTCAAAAGTTTCTGAAATATTACCATTTACTTACAATGTCAAAGTTGTGCTCCATCTGCAGCAGCGTTATCTGTTTTTAAAAAAAAAAGTATTGTTAGTTTAGAAAAAATTATCTAGGTATCATCGTAAAAAAGGGTACAAAACACTACTGTAGCTTGACTCAGGACTTTGACTGTGGGTAAGTTTCAAAAGAACCTACCTAAGCTTGAGCTACTAAAGAATTAACAGGACTACCAAAATTTCGCAAAACTTGCCCTCAAAACCACATAATGTGATAAACATATGCATAAATACAAGGAAGTCTATATAATATAAATTAAAAAATTTAAACAAGATATTGAATGAAATATTATATCCTCCAATAGAAACATGAGATTAAATCTTTACCAAAGCTGGTACAACACTCTTGACTGGAAATCCTCCTAATGTTTCTTCATTTCCCATGACCAACAGCTGGCACATCTCAATCACTGCCTGTAGTTGCTGACTTTCATCAGTGGCTTGGAGACCTTGTAAAAGCTGTTGGGCTTTAGAACCTAGTTGTCCAGAAAAAAAAATTAGGAAAGAAGATATTAGAAAACATAAGTGTTCAAGAGAACTGTTATGCTACACTTCTGCCAGAGCGGAAGACCAGAGATAGTTTGTTTTCCTCTGTATTTGTAGTTTCACTTCCTTTCCCTGTCATAAAAAGGTAGGATAGGAAAGGGAGACAAAATCTCTCTTGGCTGTCTTTCCAGTGCAGACTGGTCAGCACAGGGAGTCCGCCACACTGCTCCTCACAGCCATCTTGCCAACCTACAGCAGGTGCCAGAACCCACACCACCCACCCCACCTTTGTACAGCAAAGGACTTTCCAACACCCTCCCAGATCATACAGCACACGAGACCCCATCCTCTCCTTGGCATGCAGTGTAACAGGCTGCCTCTGGCTCTCCTGGGAAGCCAAAAAGACTTAGACTAGAAGGTACAGATCTCATCCAGCTGCATAATGCAGACCTGGGGGAACAAGCCTAAGGACCCACATTCTCACTGACACACCATCTGAAGGGAATTATTTCTGTCCAAAACCTAAGACATTTCTGAAACTAAAACCAACATAACTTAGAACTGACATCTACAAGTAGTTTTAAAGCTAGCTTAAGCACTTGTTTAAAGCTAGCAAAAAACCCAAGGGAGTTGGAGAGGTCTTTTGTTAAGCAGCCCATCATGCAAAAGAAAAAGATAAGGAAGGGGTGAAAAGGCAAGAACCCTCCCTTCCCCACCTAGAATGGAACATTAAGATGCCCCCAAGAAAAGAAAAGAAAAGAAATATGGCTAAAGCAGATTTCTCTTCCTTAAAAGAAGACAAGTAAACTAATATTTTTGATTGGGGGTCTAGCACTATCATGACATACAAGTCTCCAACACGTAAAATATTAAACTATGAAGCTAATACAAATATTAGATTTACTAGTGGCTGAATTCTACTAGTCTGGAAGTGGAAAGAATTAAGTCAAATTAGACAAACTTTGCTTACTAGCTCCACTTCCAATTGTCCTGTGGAAGAGCTGCGACATCCGAGGACCAAGAGGGCCAAACAGGTGAGGAGGAAGACCCCTAGCCTCTAATAGAGCTAAAAGCAAACAGAGGATAACAGCCATTGTCAAAGCTTCTACGAATATTTTTAAAAGCTTAAATTCCATGATGTTATCATTTAAGATTACTAGAATTTTGATATTTTAAGAAAGAAGAATTAGGATTAGATGACTGCAGCTACCTTGATTTCCAAAAAAAACACCGAAAAGATGACCTCTGGAGAACAAGTAACTCATTTCTGTATGTATCAGAGCATTAAGGCCCTTTAAGAAGTCACCCACTGAGTGTCCAGTTATGCATTTCACAGAAGAAATCTGGTCTGTTAAACTGTTGTTAAGTCTAGAGCTACAATAGCAGATACACCAGGCTGTAATTTCAAATCTGAACTCAAACTACATAAAACAGGTAAAGCTTATCTTTGCATGTTCAGAAACTGCATGGCACTACTAATCTGAAAAAAAAAAAAGGACACTGAAAAACAGGTTCATATCTTTATCTGCTGATGTGTTGGAAAGGGAAGAACTCTGCTAGGTATTAGCAGGTTTCTTTTTTGATTGATTTTAAACACTTTACAGTAGTGTTACTTAAACTAAACTAACTGGCAGATTCTGATTTTTATTGTAGCAATCATGACTACTGCTGATCAATAAAATAATCATTAATAGTGAAAACCAATTTAGCTCTATGTTCCTAGTGCATACCTGTGCTTACTGAGAACTACAAGCTAGTGAACTGGTACTGACACAGCACTCACTTCACATTAAATATCCAGATTAACCAAAACCTCTCATTTGCAAGGGAGATCACAGTTTCAGGACTCCCTGCAATGTAGCAGCAAAATCATTAGTCCAATTGCAGGACATGCAAACTGAGTTTATACCTGTTTGTACTCCCGGGTTTTGAGAGACCCGAGTCCTTTAGCCCAAGCACAAAAGCAAGCGTTTTAAGAACATTCAGGTTTTGTTTGGTCAAAGCTTATAGCAAAATGGGTATCAATGACAAGCACAAAAAAAAAAAAAATGTTATCCAGAAGCAGGCAGAGTACAGTAGGCTTAACCTGGCCTGTGAACTGAAAACAGGCTTGCAAAGATTATTTTGATATTTGAGCTTACACACTTGGGACTGAGTTCTCAGTTCTCTACCCCTACCTCCTCCTGGAAAACCATCAATAGTAGTGTATTATACACCATGTAAATGAATGTCACCCCCTCCAGACATTACTTCCAAATTCTTGCATCTTTAGTATATTAAGTCTTGTAACTCCACACTTCAGAATTATTGTAAGCAAAGCAACACATTCGCAGACAGTGAAACAAAATACAGCCTTCCCTCTACATGTAATACAGAATTTGTGTAGGTATGGCTATTTATAGGCTGCAAATGACAGAGGTAAATTAATAACAACTTTTATACCTTGTAGTCTTCCCATCTCAGAATCATCTGACTCACTTTCTCCAGAAGTTGTCATACCTACAGCTCCAGCAACAGAACTAGAAGCTAAAGAAACAAAATAGAGATTAACGCAAGTTACAGTGCCTTTAAAGCTACAAAATTCACATGAAAAAAGTCTCTGCCATCAAAAGTGTTCTCTGCATCTAACATTGACAACTTCTGTACAACTTCCATTTCAAAGCAGATCAGTCTGCAGGTCTAGTACTTTCCAAAAGCTGAAGAAAGTGGTTAAATCCACACAACATAATGAAAAAGTACAACTAGATCCACAAATTACATTTCAGACAGATTTACCAGTATCCTTAATAAATTTATGCTTTTCTTAATTGAGTATTACACCGCACTTAGGTTTTCATTAATTTTAACTTTCAGTACTGATGTGGCTGGCTTTAAGTATAGAACATTTAATATTTTCTACCATTCAGCATAATTACTGGAAAGCACCTTTGAACTCACTACTGATTAGGACCAGATGATAAAATTATCATTTAATAGGACTGTGCAAGTAATAATATTTAACTTAGTTACAAATTTCTCCAGTACAGACATGCTTGCAATTTCAACAGAAAACTTGTAGAATATTTATGAGTAATTTCAACAGAGCTTTTACAGGTACACGATGCCTTCTGTATTCTAAACCATTCAGTGTCTTTTCAGTTGGTAGTAATTTATCTATCATCAGTTGAAGTTACTTTTTTTAAAAGAGAAAGAAGCTTGAAAACTGAAGTCTGGTTTATTGAATATAGTTTGGAAACTACAAGAAAGCATAACTGACCCATGTATCAGACAGCCAAGAAATCAAGCGCAAAAGAGAAACCTCTCTCTCAAAAACCTCCCATAATAATTTATGAGCTTACTCAGAACCATTTAATTATTTTCAAACACAAAGAAGTCTATATCATTATTATTATTATATCATCATTATTATGCTAAAAATGCTTTAGTTGGAATTTCTTCTTACCTGCAGCTCCCTGGGGAGGCTCATCTGTTCGTGCAGCTGAAGAGTTAACTCCATCCTGGTTGTTGTCAGGATCAGCCATCTTCTCCTGTCGGCGAGCTTCAGCTGCTCCTCTTTTGCCCAGGCCAGAGCCTCGCCGACTAAAGGTTCAAAAAACAAAGTTTCAGACCTTATGAACTATGACAAGAGATTCATTAGTGTAAGTCTACTCAAGACCGTATAACATCTATGCAGAACACTGCTACAACACCGCACGAACTAATAATCTGTTTAAGAATCCATCTTCACAAAATTATCCAACCCTTCTTTGCCCTCCTTGTCCCACACCATGCAGTGATCTGTTTACACTAGTGGATTACAGCCAGGTCCTTACATTATACCCTTCAAGACAAGGCAGTCTACACTAAAATACAACAGTAAAAATAAGCAAGATTAAAGTGACTGTTAGTTACAAATCATGTACACATTTGAGAAGTCTGATAATAAGAGTAACGATCTTTAAAGGAAGTTCTGAACTACTGAAAGAGGACTCTGATGCTCAACATGGTTTTCAGTGCCAGAATAAGTTTGAGGGGATGACCCTAATTAAATCTGCTGTTTTAAACACTACTGTCATCATCACTACAAATACATATGCCTACAAAGTAAACAGTCAAATTGAAAGGCTCACTTGACAACACAACTGAGGCTTCAGAAGTAGGGGTTTTTTATGGTGTGGAACAGGGGAAAAAAAGTATTGCTGGAACTACTAAACACAGCCTAGGTATAAGAACAAAAATAAAACTTGTTCAGGCTTCCTAGGTCTAGTTCCAGAATCTATACAGCTACAAAAGTTGTTTGCACCACAGGACACATTAACTCTCCCCTCCCACTTAATCTACCAGCTGTTTAAAATAACTAATTCAGGGCTAATTTTCCTCTGCATTAGGAAGTATACTAAGCACTTAAATGTAGTATTGTTCAGATGAAGCTGCTGACAAACTGAGTCAGCTCAACAGTGCCCACTATTAAAACAGACTGCTATGTGGTACCATGAAGTCTCATTTTTCAAAACAAGCATCTATTTTACTAGTCATGATGGACAATAATTCAGCACTCTCTCTCATTCTCTGTGTTAAGAATCTTTTTAAAAAAAACCTCCCTAAGGACAGGATTACTTAAGTTTGTGACACTGACTTTGGATGTTTCTTTCCCTCCACCTCCAGAGATGAGGGACATACTAGAAGTCTGCTGGTGACAAATGCTTTGTTCTATCCATGACACAGGCATACAGAGCCATCAAAGCTACAGCTACTTTTACAACAGCCAAGTAGGAGAGAGACAAGGCCAGTTTTCATGCATGCAAGTCACATCAACATCAATTCACTGCAGAAATCATGATTTCTTGATAGATCAAGTTCTACCTGGTGCTAGCACAGGAGCCCGTGGTCTTTTGCCGTGTGCTCCGCCGCAAACTGGGGAGCTCAGCAGGTGGTGATTCACTGCGCTTCTTTGTAGATTTTCTTAGACCTATGCAATATGTAAAGAATTGAGAAGAAATCAGTCTTTAAATACACAGCAGTTCTACAAAGAAATTTTCCTGTACGAGAAACCTCCACGTAGAAGAACATAAGAATATGTTCTTCTACATAAGAACCACACTAAGCCCACATCAGCTTTTAGTCACCTTACACTGAACTGCTGGACCAGTAAAAGAAAAGGTCAGGTATTTACTTCTACTTATTATTTTAAGCTAAGTAACACTAAACTCCAAGTTGTTATGTAGGTACCTTTTCCTAAGATACATACTACGGTTACAAAAGAGTTTCTAAGTCTTTCTTATGCTAAACAGGTAACAAATTATGGGATATAAGTTTATTATTTCCACATGTTGATGTCCAAACACAAGAAGATGCTTTAGTCTTAAAAACGAAAAGAAATTACACTTTGGGGAGAGAGGGTAGTGGTGGTTGTGATCTCAGTTTTTGGTCAGTTTTATTCACATTAGTCTGGCTTTAAAATAACTGTATTAAATCAAAACCACCCTCCCCTCCTGGAGTCAAGCACTGCCAGTGCTGAGATCTATCATGTGTATTATCTGCGTTCCTATTTCAACTACACCCCTTCAGCCCCTCTGTCATGAGGCCTTCTTTGATGAAAATAATCAAGCATATCCTCAAGGCTTTGGAAATGGAGTTCAAGTTTTTAATTTACAAGTATTTGCACTGTTGAAAATGACCCAGTTGATACTAATTTGCTCTAGGTTACAAAGCCACTGTTCTGATGACATCCCACCACAGAGCCAGGTGAATCTTAAGCACACAAAAACCCACACAACACAACGTTCTCAGCAAGCTTATTATCAGGTTGAAATATCCCATAGCAGTTTCCAAACTGGAAAACTGATAATTTAAATGTCAAAATTAAAAATCTTTATCAGGCCCAATTTGACACTGCAGTGCCCCTCTTACCTCTACAATAAGTCAATAAAATAAAAGAGGAATTTATAACATTAAGTTCAGACATACTATTACCAGAAGAGATGTAAATAATTTTGAAGAGATGAGGAGGTTAGATCACTGCTCCCCCCTCTGGCAACAAAGCAGATATAAAACACCTTTAAACATGCAATGTGTTTGAGTTCAGTACTTATCAAACTGGCTCCTGTCTACTTCCTTAATCCTAAAACATCCCAGGAATGCAGAGTTGTGGTACTGAGGGATGTAATAACTATGCAGCTTCTGACTGGATATTTCATAGAAAAGGCAAACTGATCTGAAAAGCTACTACTGACCTGGCCAACAGTGTGTCCTTTCAAACACTACAGTGTATCTGACTGGGAACACAATGCTGTGTGCAGGTAAATTCCATGTAGATGAAGGTTAACCTGATATTCACGGATTTACCACACATTTGGCTTACCAACCCAAGAAATATGGCAACCTTAAGAACACAACAGGGTATTGTATTTAAAAGCCACCAAGCACTGAACTGAAGCAGGCCAGCCACTTGAATTTTCAGATGGTCAGTACATATAGAACAAAATACATAGCTTTTTCAAGTGTTCAAGAAGCAGTGGCATTCTTACTACATGAGCTTTGAAACCAAAAATAAGTTGAAGTTGCTACAACAGAAATACACAATGACTCCAACACTACATACATATAGTGAGACACTTGTGGGGGGTGACAGGAGAAAGAAGTGTCATAAAGATACAAGACAAAAATCACTTGAAACAGTTGCAGCAGGATCCCATGTTGTAGCTAAGTAGCTAAGTTTCTCAAGTAGTAGAAGTCCAAAGATACAGCAGAACTTGCCTCAAAGCTGGTTGTATTTCACACCAGAGAATGCATGCTTTAACTGGCACTAGGTATAGCACTGTACTACTCCACAGGCAAAACATGTTTACCCCTCTGGGTTCAGAGGTATACTTTTCCATATGTAACATATGGAACACATGGAAAACTAGGCTACTTAAACTCTGTAACACTACGGTGAAATTCTAAGTGAAATGTACCTTCGCTTTACATTTAGAAGAATAAATAAATCATCTTGTTACAGTAGAGTTCACTGGGAAAAAAATTCACATTTTCCTCCTTTATGGTAGCTCACCATTTATTACTGCAAATCTGTGGGTCATCATTTTCAAGCAGTCAGACCTTAACATCAGGTACCTTATTAGCTTAGTAACAGGCCACCAATGACACACCACACATTCACTGTAAGTGACATAAGATTGACTTAATGGATCAAAACAGGATTTCTGCTAAGGGCAAAGGTTTCACAAAGCAGCAGAGTTAGCTTAACAACTTACTGTTTTTTAACAGTATGGCACACTCACTCATGTCTTATTGTCCCCAGATCAGTCCCAAGATGTACAAATTGCACACCTGACACACATTTTCTTCTTTTAGTATTCTGCCAGTTTGGCAAGCTGAGTTTGCTTTACAAGGGTCAGATGAGCAGACACCATAGTAGAGCAAAGAAGCTATAAAATGGGTTGTCCCTTTTCACTAAGAGACATTAAATTAGCTGAGCCATCTCTTTAAACTGAATTACCTCAATAATTACCACAGTTGTAGAGAAGGTAGTTACCTGGTTACCATTTGGTGGGTGAGCTGCAGAATACATCCCAGCCTGAGCTCTTGGAAGAGTTGAGCGCATTTTCTCTTGCTGCTCAAGAATGTTCTACTTGTCAGATCTTTGTGCATGTTTCTTTTCCCAAGTCTTTAGTTCTCTATGTCTGATGCATCTACCAGGGCACATCTGAGCTTCATCCTCCCCCTATTAATTTCTAAGGCTACAAAGGAAGCAAAGAAAGTCGTTCCAGATCGTCTCTTCCTGCTGTTCACTGCCATTCTCTGCCCTTAAAGTTTGTTGTTTGCAAAGGCTTCTTAAGTCAATCTTATCACCTGCATCTTTTGCGAATTCTCTGAGTCTTCCCAATACCAAAACTTCAAGACTTAATTTCTTCAGACTAAACCTTCTTCATTTCACTTGCACTGTCATCAGAATTTGGGATGGCCAACACAGCCTCCCAACTGAAAGTTAGTCCTGTGTCTAGAGGACTTGCAGGAGGCTTAAAGTTGCAAGCCTTCACTGGCAAATAGGGCACAACCAGCATTAAGAGAAATGAGATTAGAGATGCCCTGTGACTGCCTGACGAAGGAAAGCATCAGTCATATTGCCACAGACACCAAGGGATTTCAGAGGAATAGATTTATGTTCATCTCCAGAAGTTATTTATTCAGCACTATTTCTGTATTATATAGAGCCATGTATTGATAAGTCATCTCTTCAAGCTAAACAGGTGCAGTTCTCTCAGCCTTTCCTCATGAGATGCTTCAGTCTTCTAATCATCTTCATAGCCCTCCACTGAACCTTTCCCAGTAGTTCCTTGTCTTTCTTGAACTGGGGAGCCCAGAACTGGACATGGCACTCCAAGTGAGGCCTCATGAAGGCAGAGCAGAGGGGTAGGATCACCTCTCTTGATGTGCTGACAATGCTCTTCCTAATGCACCCCAGGACACCACGGGCCTTCTTGGCCACAACAGTACAACACTGCCAGCTCATGGACAGCTTGTTGTCTACCTTGACCCCCAGCTCCTTCTCCACAGAGCTGCTTTCCAGTAGGTCAGCCCCCAACATGCAGTGGTGCCTGGGGTTGTATCTCCCCAGGTGCAGGACCCTACACTTGCCTTTGTTGAACTTCAGCTGGTTTCTCTCCATCCAACTCTCCAGGTTTCACTGAATGGCAGCACAGCCTTCTGCTGTGTCAGCCACTCCTCTCTCTTTTGTATCTTCTCCAAACTTGCTGAGGGTGCATTCCAGGGTGACACTTCATCCAGGTCACTAATAAACAAGTAGAACAGGACTGGACCCTGTACTGATCCCTGTGGAATACTGTGAGCTACAGACCTCCAGTTGGACATGGTGTCGCTGAACAACCCTCTGAACTCTGCCATTCAGTCAGTTCTCAATCCAGTTCACTGTCACTTATCTTACCCGCTCTTCCTGTGTTACCTATGAAGATGTTATGGGAGACAGTGTCCAAAGCCTCGCTGAAGTCAAGGCAGACAACATCCACTGCTCTCCCCTCATCTACCCAGCCATCATAGAAGACTATCAGACTGGCCGAGCATTATTTCCCCTTGTGACTACTGTGATAAGCTTTTCCTTCATATGCTTAGAGATGACATGCAGCACGAGCTGTTCCATCATCTTTCCAGGGACAGAGTTGAGGGTGACCAGCCTATGATTTTCCTGGGTCCTCCTTCTTGCCCTTATTGAAGACTGAAGTGACATTGGCTTTCCTCCAGTCCTCAGGCACCTCTGCTGTTCTCCACGATCTTTCAAAGAAGATGGAGAGTGGCTTAGCAGTAACATCTGCCTGCTCCCTCAGCACCTGTAGGTACATCCCACCGGGGGCCCATGGAGGATTTGTGGGTGTCAAGTTTACCTAAGTGATCTCTAACCCAATTCCCTCAGCCAAGGAAAAGTCATCAGGAGATCTGTGTTAGTAAAAGGTACGAACAGATATGGACTTTCAATAAACGAAAAGAAAATTACATTTAAGCAGTTCATATTCAATACCTGCCAAAACTTCAAAACTAAAAGGCATATATTGCTTGTGCCCTGACATCATCCTATTTGCATGCCAAACACTCATGTTTATGAGTCAGAAGGAAAATAGACTCAAACAGGCTAAACCTGAAATAGCACAGCCTAACAGAAATCAAATTAGAAAAATCTTAACTTCACATTTAACTCTCTTTCCTGGTCAGCACTTTTTTTAAAGGCATATTTTGTTGTGTGAAAGAAACAAGTTCTGAATGCAGCTGTACTTCGATCACTTGAGTCAGTGTATCGCCCAGGTCAAAACAAAGTTAGTCAAACTTCCACAGTTCATAACCCAGAAAACCCTTTATTTGCAGTTCAGAAAGGTAATCAGGAGAGATTTACTGGTTAGGATTGGAAGTTTAGATTTAAGATTGGCTCTTGTGCTGGTCTGCTCTCCTCACTGAAATAGGGTGGAGGAGCTGTGGCAGTGGAAGGTAAGACAGTCTCCTGTCATTCTAATATTCCACTATTACCCTCCCTCAGGATCAATCCAGACACCTCCAGCTCTTGATTATGGTCCCACACAGCCCATCACCACAATTACAGCAAGTATCTCCAAGCCAGTCATCTTACTTCCTCAATCCCAAGTTCACAACCCCAAGGCTCCAACAACCATCACCCGAGCCAGCACTGTCACCCACAATCCCAAACAAACTAATTCAGAGCTATTTTCAGACTTTTTTCTCCTCACCTCTGTCAAATCCCTCAAAGCCAGGAGTTCTACACCATTCACACTCTGTGTTTATGCTCATGTGGCTTTTCAGTGTATCCCAACAATCCCTCTAGTCCCCCAGATCTGACAGTATTAGGTAGAGATTTCTCAGTCAGGGACAGCTACCCTATGTTACCCTGCACTCAGCACTGTCCCAGCCACAGTTTCCAGCTTCCTCCTACTTAAGGGCCACAAGACACTAACACAAAGGACAGCAAAGATTTCCCTAATAATGGAAACATAATTACTGTTTTTATATTGTTACATAATCCGGAAGATGACCCAATTTGCAATATTTAAAAAGCCCCTACAACACATACGGATTGAAAGGGATGTGAAAATATTCAAATCAAGAGAGCAAAATGAGAAACTTGTTTTCTTCCTCTTTCTCCCCCCCCATGAAGAAATACTCAGCTACTCAAATAGATGCAAAAAACTTTAGTCTAGCCTGTTTTTATTATTCCAACATATTGTATAGCTGTTATTCAGTGATATCACTGCTCAGTTACAGAGAATGCTGTGTAGCTAACACTCTGAAAGTCACCTTGGCTGGATTTAAAACCTATTAATTAACCAGTGAGGACTGGACAAGAAACCTCAGGGTATTCTCCTCCACCATGTGAAAACCTTCTGCGAAGATGGCAACCATGTTTCACCTCGTTCTTCTCTTCAGCAGAGTAAGCCAGATCAGCTCTTCTTGTTTTTCCCTTAAAGATCACAACATCTAATAATACTTTCTGTACTTCCTGAACTGCAACACTCAGAAGGGAACACCACTGCATTTATATAGCCATGGCTGACTGGATGGGGCTTTGAGCAACCTGGAAGGTGGCCTTGCTGTGGCAGGCGGGTTGGAATGAGATGACCTTTAAGATCCCTTCAACCCAAACCACTCTATGACTTTATGTTAGTCTGAATAATCTCCCCTCTCCTCCCACTTTTCATTCTAGAATGTTTGGTTTTTTGCTTATCTCCCACTAGTTCTATAAGCCCTAGTTCCATCTTCTTCAAGCATGTGTTTCATAATATACACCTATACAAGCCTACTGAGTTTAAGCTTTCAGTTTCTACACAGCATTACTATGACTTCTAAGGACATGTTTCCAGGCAGACAGTGTACACCCCAATTTCATCAAGATCCCTGTTTGCCTTACTGCTTTAGAAAGCTTTAGGGTGTTAATATTTGTGCAAGACATCATCTGCTTCTGCTCCCTTATCCTCTAAGGCTACTGGCCTGCTACAGAAAATAAATTTGAACTTATCCGTTCTTTATTAAAAACCAACCTGTGGCTTATTGTCTTCATATTTTCATGACACTTCTCAGCATTATCCAAAATGTGTATTTTGTTAAAATACTTCAAATTTGTCCCAATATTTGAAGCTGTCACACAAGCTTGTTTTTAAAAAAGGGCTAAGCTAACAATCTTTACTATTGCTTCCAAGATCATTTCAACCTGTTGTCAAAGAGCACTGTTCGAAAGACTGAGACTATCTGAAAGTATCATAGTTTAACACTTCTAAGTTGAGCTCTTACTCTTAGTGCTATTCAGTGAATAATTATATTTATTGGAATAAGTTTTGCTGTAATCTATGGTAAAATAAAGAGGCATTAGACATTTTAGACTTCCTAGTATCACCTGTTAGCACTTTTCCCCTACCTCAAAGTAGGTTGCCCTCTACATAAAATAACCTGATCCTCTACTGCTTCTAGAAACATCTCTCACTGTGCTTTGTGCCCCTTACCGGTGACATTTTATACTTACACACACACCTCTACAATCCACACCAACTTGGTTTTGTAACATAGACTTGAACATTTTAGTTGAACAGAAGTTTAGCTTTTTCCAAAAGATAACTTTAGCTCTTCCATGACCTGAATGTTAAGCCAAACTGGCTTTCTCAGTACAGCCTTTGTGGAGACAGTTTAGGCTCATTCTCAACACTGTTTTTCAAGCTACTGAACACACAGCCCACCCCACCCCACCCCTTATATTGTGCTATTTCCCCCTTCCCCTTCTCACTCTTTGAAGTTTTGTAACTTATCACATGAATTACTCTCTGCCTTCACCTTCTTGTTGTTCACTTGTTGGAGGCAAATTCTCTCTTGTACCCGTTGCTTTTCTTTCATTTCTAAAAAGCTGCCTGTACCTGACTTTGCCAAGAACTTGTTGGTCATTCCCATTGTTGCCTGACTCCTCCTAACTTCCCCCTCATTCCACCCTGTGCAAATTCAGAGTTTTGATTCTGGAATTCATCACCCAGTAAATTCTTGAACCAGGAAGCAGGTAGAAAAAAAACCCCAAACTTTGCTGTAAAGCAAGTAAGTCCTCTCCACTTCCCCAATGCCATTCTTCACTCTTTAGGTTAGGTCATTCCAGAATCAATACTCCAGTCGTGCAAGTTATCCAAAACATACCTGTTAGATTTAATTGACCCATGCTGATTATACAGGAAGACAATCAGTTGCTGTTGTTTATTCCACCTATTTCCTGCATTAGTATTAGCTACAGATGTGCCCCAGCTGGGACAGGCTACTTGTGACCATGCACAACAGTCTACGGGTTCATGCACACAATTCCTTTGTAAAGGAACTTTGTAAGCGAGCTTAGGAATCCAACTTCTTACATTTTAGAGAATACATGCTGTAAATAAATCATTCAACACACATAAGGCAGCAAAATGCATTTTAAAAAAAAATTGCTCAAGACAGCAGAGCTACAAGCAAATCTATAGCAAGCAGGTGCTCTGCTTGGAAACAGCCTGTATTTGTTAGAGACCATGTCCAACAATGGTACCTGCTATTCAAATTCAGCACCAAAAAGAAGACATACTTTGTGAGAACCTAAAAGACAAAGTGACTAACATCCCCAGCACTAGATAGACCAGGTTTACAAGACTACTATTCTTAAAGTAACAGAGAGTCTCACAGCAATGAAAAATTAGAAAGGTAGATTTGAAAGAAGAAACCACATACAATGTACTTGTTTTCCAGCAGTTATCATTCCCACTTTGGGACAGAAGGCTTAAGAAAATGAGGAAAAAAAAAATCTGACAAGAGGAATATAATCAAGAGTGTTTTATAACGTTTATGTCCCCATCACAACATTCAATTATTTTGCATATATTTTATTTTTAAAATCAATTTGAAAGACAGAGAAGCAACTTAAATTTACAGAATGCTGACTGCACTAAAATCATCTGCTTTAGCTGTAAATTGTTTCAGTCACAATTTTACTTAAAAACTCAGCAGAACACACTAAAAGTTACTAGGAAGATCCCAAGAAGCTTGAAAACAGTAGTATTTGTTTAGAAGACTTGATTTTAAAACACATGTGCTTATTCTTCCACAAAAGAACAACTTACTTGCTAGCTTAGCCTGTAGTCCTGAAGGTCCAGGTTTTGATGTCTCCGACTTGGAAGAGCCTGGTAGAGACAGTTTTGTTTTGGGTAGACTGACTTTCGGGCTGAATCGAGCAGCCCAGTCAAACTTTGAAGAGCCACCTGTTTTACTCGGTTCTTTGTCCCTGCTACTCCTTCTTGGACTGGGGCTAGATGCAGAACGGGAACGTCTAGCCTTACTCTGGTCCTTTCCCTGTTTCACTCTGGCACCCTGAGGAACAGTAGAAGAAGCAGAGGCAACAGCAGAAGAGGAGGAGGAGGTGGAAGCTGAAGAAGAAGAATCGGTGATGGTGCTACACCCAGCTTTGGCTGAGGTCACCGATTTTGAAGCCAGCTTGGAGACTTTTGCTGACTTCTCTTCAGCGCCAGTTGATTCAACTGATGACCCACTCTTTATACAAGACAGATTCTCTGTCCTTTTCCTTTTCTGACTTCGGGAGCTACCAGCAGCTCCACCCTTTCTGGTGTGAGCCTTGCTTGTTGATGGCAATTGTGTAGACTTGGGCTGTTCTTGGTCTGAGTGTCTTCTCTTAGACTTAGTATGTGGCTTGTTGGTTTCCGAGGAAGTTTCAGTGTGTTGAAGTGCTTTGGGTTTTTTAGCAGAGCTGGGAGAATTGGTCCTCCTGTAATCTGGACTAGCACTGCGTTTAACTCCTCGAGAATTGTCTTTCTTAGGCACTTGCCCCGTTTTTTGCTTTTCTGAAGTATTGACTCTCTCTGGATCTTCTTGTTGTGGTATTAAAACAGCAGATGAACTACAGCCTCTGTAGAAGTAAGCAGGAACAGCATTAGTGCTGAACTCAGGAAACCTCACAGTTGTAACAGTTTTGCATGATAAATGTCATCATTCTCTAATAAAGGAAACTGCACGTAAGAAACTGTTGATTAGGTTAACATTGAAACAAACAAAAACAATGCCACGACATGCCCGTATGAGAACAATCATATTGCACGTACTTGCTAGCATAAAAAACTAAACAAATTGCAAAATAAAAGCACAGTACACTGCCTTCTAAAGAGGAAGTTATAACTTGAATTGATTTTACTTTTTAATGTATATTGATACAAACTGATTTAAAAAAACAAACAAACAAAAAAATCAAGCCATGAAGGTGTTATCTGAATGTTTGCGAATGTAAGTTCCACAAGAGAGTAAGGAGTGTTCAGTAATGCATAACTAGTCATAACTGGATTCTAGTTCAAGAAAGGTTCTTAATGAAAGGATAGTTTCTCATCAATCTTAAAATTGAGGTAGTGAATCACACACAGAAATGGCAAAATTCTCTTCTACATGATAGAAAACTGTTCCAGTGTGTAAATAGCAGAAGCATATGAAGAGCAGACAAAGCAATACCAAGATGATTACTCTGAACACAGGCATACTTTAGATTATTGCATGTTTCAATTCATATTGGACATTGCTCCAAACTCCTTGGGCAATCTTCCCCCAACATGAAGCAGAAGAATGGGAGAAAGACCTTGCAAGTATTCCAGGACTAGTTATGCAGAAATCGTTTCCTCCCCATCACTGATGGAATGCTCTTAGTTGGTGAATTAGAAAAACAAAACAGAAACAGAATTTGAAACACTGAAATATATCCAGTGAATGCAACACCTAGATTAGTTCAAATCTATTAGTCATACGTTGTATAAGAACTCTGTATAACTCAACACATTATACACAGTTGTGAAGTGCAGATAACACTGGTTAAGATATGAATATGAAGCGCAATTACCTTTTAGAAAAGTGTCCCTTGGACTGCTCAGAAGTAGTATTAGACTGCACTTTGGGTGTCTTTGAAATAGATTTTCTACTCTCAGGAGGGCTATGTGCCTTATGTTTTGCCTGCCCTAAATGTGACCTGTCAGCAGAAAGTCAAAACAGAAAGCTATCAGGATTCCAAGATACAGATACAGACCTGTAGGTGGAATTATTGTTTATTCTTGGGCCATTTACAAATATTCATTTACAGCTACAAACCTTTCCATATCAGCTCCCAATATTAAAGCAGCATTTCAAAAGAATCACCTGTTGCAGTTACAAATCACTACCAGTAACTGTTTTGTAAGGCACACAATTACTTAGTCATTTTAAATGAATAAAACATCATCTAACTCCTGAGCTGTGCAGATAAATTCAAATTTTTCTGATCTGCAAGATTACTGAATTATTCACTTAAGCATTAAGCTAGCACAGTAAGGCACATGACTAGAGCACCTGTCAAAGATCTCTTCTCAAAAATAGATATATACTCATCTACCTCGAGATTCCATGCATTAAGTCTTTATACAGTTATGAGTTTGTATCTTTGTTCTTCAGTTTAAAAAAATCAAGTGCTCAGAATAGGAATGCAGCCAGTTCCACTTGGTAGGAAATCTCAACCCTACCAGTTATTTTCTGGCTGCAGATCCACCAGTTCAGAGGATTGAGAGCAGTGTGGTAACAGCTGAGGAATGAAGAAGAAAGAGGAATGAAGAAACACATGCTACCAATGAAGGCAGTCAGATGAGACAGGAAACCTGTGATGTCAGAGATAGGAATGAGTTTCACATAGATAAGCTACAAGAGGCCTTCCAAGCAGCCTTCAGCTGCATGCAAAAATTGGTTCATTGTATGAGCTCTGACTGAAGGACAAAGATAATACTATACCATGGATAAAATTTAAGACTTAAGTTACATCTTCGCATATTCCATATTTAGCTTCAAAACCACTCGGAATTACCATCTGCAAGATTCAGAAAAGAGCTCATCAGCATTTAGAACAGGACAGTATAAATAATTGCTGAGGCAAGGGACATCTCACTTGCACTTCCCTGGATAGAACACACTTTTGTCTCAGCTGCCACCAGGAAAACTCCACTGCACATTTCATACTTATAGAGAACCATCAAGCACCATCAACCTTTATGAAACCTCAAACTAGTCTAGTATTAATGCTGAAAGAAGCCATGTTTCAAAGTTGAAGAACTCTTGATTATATGTTTATATGTTATTAACCTCAGCTATCTACTCCTTGGAGTTGAGCTCTGCAAACATCTGAATGCTAAGGTGTAAGGGGAGGAACACTGACTTCCAATTTAAGTGCCCTGCTCCAGCCCATCACCCCAAACATCACAAAATTTAGGACAACAGACTAAGTGGAAGTAGTAGAGTTCCACGAGCTTTCAAACAGTTTTTCCAACCAAATGCCAGAAATCCAGTAGTGAAAGCAAAGCTAATTTTACTACTGACCAGAAAGCTTCACTATCCTCTTCAGGACTTCAATGCAAACTTCAATGTCCATAGAAAACAAGTACCAAGTCCAACCACCCAGATGATAATAACATGTTCACCTTTCTAAGAGCATGACAGTCTGCAAAGATTAAATTAACAGTATCTTCTCCATACTCAAGTAACTTGTTTTGATTTATCATACTATAAGAAGTAATTTTTACTATCAAAAGCAAGTGACACAAAATAGATCTCTAGGTCACAATAGCAAACTCCATCAAGGTAAACTTGGGAATGTTTCACCCAATCCTCAGTGTTTGGATTTTCCTTTTCCCAACAAAAGATTAAGGCGTGAAATTTAATTTTCCCCTTGAAGTGTTTTTATTATGGGAGTAACAGACGTTATTACATAATTTACACTTGGCAGGAATCTCATTTTTTATGTAAGCTAAACTGATCAGAGTTCACTTATCTGAAGTGTATTTTAAAAGGTTATTTTCCCTTAAAGATTTTTGTTTTGCTTTAGATATTCACAGAACATAATAATTGAAGATCTTTTCAACTAAAATATTGCTAGAGCAATACACGCAAAACATGCACTGAAGAGTTTCCACTTGTTTCAGGCTCCTCCCCTTTCACCTTTAAACCCTTTGGATTCCTACAAGTTTTACAAATACAGTTTCATAACAACATCCAATTTATGTGGACTAATAAAGCTACAACCATATCCTAGGGATGATGAATGCTGCCTCATGCAGACTATTCACATTTGCTTTTACTTTATCCATGAAACGATCAGTAAAAACACTGAGCAGAAAGGTTACTCTAGAAATGCAACAAGTGGGGAGTTTAAAACTGATGGGAATTTTTTTAATTTCATTTTTAAAGACCTACTGTGCTTTCACTTCTCCTGAGTTTAATCACTCACCTTGCATGTGTTCCAAAGAAAAGGTACACAAGACAATAACAACTGTGCATGCAGTAGCATGTCAGTTAAAAGGAACACGACATTAATTACCCCTCTGTAAGGTCCATACAATAGCAAAAAGCCTGACAACTTAGAAAGTCTGCAGGATTAAGGTAAAAGAACTTTAACCATACACCAACCAGCAAGCATCATAGTCCCAATTTATACTCAAGTTGTGACAGCTTGTTTAAGGTCTCCTTAGAAAAGTTAACTTACATACAAAAGCATAACAGTCTGTAAAGCTCGACACAGAGAGCGGTGGTTGGAGAACAACCAAGGGCCATGAAAGATCCATGAGCAGCTGGAAGGCCAATTCTTTTCAAGGTTGTAAACTACCTGTACTCTTGTCCATAATCCAAGGCTTTCCACTTGTAACTTACCATTACAAGCTCTTTAGTCTTTTCCATTAAGGTATCATTCATTAAGAATCTTCATTTAAAGCAACATTCCAGCAACAAGTATTTTGAGAGCCTAAGTTCCTCATTAATGACGGAAAATGACAAGGTAAGTATTTATGAGCTTGTGTTTGTCCTTTTCCACTCTCAGGGGCAGGTCCAGAAAGACTGAGCTCTTGCTGCACCTTCAAGTGTTGTTTTGTAGAGTTTTTAGTTTTCCTTCCACCTCCCTCCCAACTTAAAGACAGTTTCATAAACCACTCCAAGGCTTCACTCAACTGGGCAAAGTTGTCTGCTGATACACATTGTAATTCACAGGCAGACATTCAAGTTTAGAGAAGCACACATACAAGTTGACAAGCAAACCACCACTTAGCTCACTGTGTTATATAAACAACATGGTGGAAAACGTCAGCCCTGAGCAAAACCATAATAAAGAACCAACTAGAACCTGTTCTCAAAGAGTTACTCTGTGCATATTAAAAAAAAAGTACCTTTTGAAGTTAGTTAATAAACAAAGTGTTTCATCTAAGTCATTTTTCTCAGCAGCTGAGAGTGAGCTATTAAATGCTTCCAAACATTAAGTCTGCAAAAACTAACCACTCTTTTACTTCTGTCAAAAATGAGATTAAAAAAAAGCAGTAGCACAGATGAAAAAGCTATGGAAAAACACCTATTTGCTCTCCTCAGAAATACTCCACCTGTCTTCCACACCAACACAAACATTAAATTTAGTTTTTCACAGGTAAGTTTTTAACAGTTTAACATATTACCAAAACTGGTCCAAAACCAATCCTGTTCAGAACAAAAGCAGTATAACTGACAAAAGTATTCTCTCTGCTTATAACAACATCCTACATGCAGCCAACAAGGATCTCATCTATCATTTAGCCTTCAATCCCATATGCACACGAACACGGATATATTATATTTCAAAAATCATTAAAATTTGTTTATGAAGTATCCTACTTTCATACACAACTCAACAGCACAGCAGTCATTTATGTCAAATTGATATCCTACTTAAATACTGCTGTTCCTAAAGATTTCCTAAGGCTAACAATATGCAGGTTAAAAGAAAAGCACCACTGGCAATTAATGCTACTAATAAAATACTAACAATTTTTGCAGCATTAGTAAAAAGTTCCAGTATATGAGACTACTTCCATTACTCCATACCAGTATAGTGCAACACTGATCACAACTGAAAGGAACAGTCAACTGCATCACTTCCAGAAAAGATCTTATTGTGTGCCTCACAATACCACTTCCAAATTGCTCCCATTCCAAGTAAATACTACAGCATCACTGGGAGCTAAGCCACAAGAGCACAATTCTTCACCACACATGGTAACAATGTAGATACACAGTGAACAAAGTGCCAGTAAGTACCTTCCACCCCCTTGTCCCGCCCCAACGAAGAAAGCTCGCGTTAGGGCATCTGCTTCCCATTCCTCTTGAGTTTTACTGCTGCAAAGGGAAACTTCAGTATCATTATTGCTTCCCTACAAACCTGCAGAGACATCCTTCAGTGGAAAGTGCTGGAAAAGATACTTCAGACGAGGGTATGGGGTGTACAGTTATGAAGGTGCCATTATAACAGTAATCCTAAATTAGGAGGATAACACTAAATACTTCTCAAACTGGTAGTAAAGCCAGTAAATACCCACAAGAGCTGAAAGCAATCCAAAGCACAGAGTTATTTCAGCATCACTACTGACAACAGAAAGTGAAGAACCACATTAGTCCAAGTTCACCAAGGCCAGTATGGTTACATGCACACATAGGAGGAACAACACTCCACCAGTTCACCAGTTTATATTAATCTCTTGTCAAACACACAACTCTTTCTTCTTTAGAGTAAAGCACACACTATTGTTGCAGCACAAATTGGAAATAAAGCATCTATCTTTCTATGCTGTCTGTGAGCCAAGTATCGTTGTTCATATTTTTAAACAAATACATCTCTAAAAATCAAACACTTGAAGCTCCTATCAAGTTCCTGAGCTGAATGTGAAAATGCCTGTTAATCTCTAGCAGAAAACCATTACAGGTTTTCCCTGCTCATTTTGACTACAAGTACTGATGTTACAGTGACATGAAACAAGCCCCGTCTAGACGAAAATGGGTTTGCATTGTTCCTTCCAGGTTAAGCCAATCTGTCAATATTAGATGTCACAGGAGGGAGATTCTGCATTTAGAATAGACCATACAAAAGTTCAGAATTTCCAAAGTCTTTAAGCAAGTGGACAGTAGCTGCTCAGCAAGTTCAATTTTTTAAAACTTTTTTTAAAAGACCTTAAATCTGTAAAGTGTCAAAAGACTATAGAAGGACACACATTAGCACTTCAGCTTGGCAGCACTGTCATTCTCCTGCCTCTCTCCTTTTTAATACCTCTCTCAACTGAAGTCTATCCCATTCACTCCAGTCAGAGCATAAAAGAGATAGCACTCACCTTAGAGTACTGGACCATCTAAGTCTGAACTTATGAGTGCCAAACTGCACAAACTCTCCAAATTTTTGTCACTTAATTTGTATTTTGAAAATGCATGCAGTTCAGCCACACAAAAGCTTTAAGAAAAAAAGCTGTTGCACTTCCAGCATTAAGAAGGCTATTTATACAAAGGAGAAGTGCAATCAAGTACACAAGTTCAGACAGTATCAAAACCTGTCCTTGCTCGAAGGGCTATGATTGCATATCTATGACCAAAGTGAAGTAACCTCCAACACTTCAGAAGGTGTGGCCCTTAAGTTTGCTTACAAACTTTGTGGCTAATTTTAGGCATGAAGCAACAACCCCCTACAGACTCACATTACTGTCTAATTCGCTCTGCAATAGTAGTTTTTCTGTTTTGTGTGAGGTTTGGGTATTTTTCATCTTTGTGTATTGATCTGTTGTTTGTTGGGTTTTTTTTAAGAAGCACATGCATCTAATAAAGTGGTTGAATAAAATCTCATACTGTTTGTACAACTACAGGTAGTACAGATGAACAGAAGAAAATCTGTAAAGCAAGATAGTTCCCATTAAGGATCAATGTCCACTATCTTTGCATTTCAATGATTTCTACTTCAAAGCAAACCAGACTAAAACCCCAAGTGACCTGAATACATGAACTGCTCTTATAGAGCATAACTTTCAGTTCAGTTTCATCCAAAAAGATTCCAGTTCAAGTGCTCCAAGACCATTCCATGATGTTAGCCAAAGCACAGCAGGTTAGGATGACTGATTTGTTTCAAAAGAACGTTCCCAGCTCCAACTAAAACACTAACACAGATACATCCCAGGCTCACAGCTATTTGCACAATACGAACATATTATTGAAATAGTCTTTCCACAGTTTGTTTATTCTAAGTGATTTTACAGCTGAAACTGAAGAGTTTCAGTTTACAGATGACAAACACAAAAAAGGCTGGAAATAAATTAAGTGTGTCAGGAAGCATAAGAAAACCCTTATGTAAGAAAAGGTGTGTTGTTTTTTGTTTAGTTTTCTTTTAATACAGTAGCCAAAGCAGTGTGTATCACTGGAGTACAGCAAGGTATAATGACATATCGAGTTGTAAGCTCTAGACTCTCCTACATACTGCTCAGCAGAACTGAAACACAGTATCCCACTGCATGTAGATGCAGCGTAGGATGAGTCCTGAGCTTTGTGTCTAAAGACAGGCAAGCAGAAAAAAAGCGACTGTTATCTGAGAGCCTGTTTCTTTCCATGTCATGTACAAAATTGCCAAGGACTTGACAGATCTATCTTACATTGGTCCTTGTACCATGGCCATTGCTGCCCAGCAGCTTACTAAAGAGGAGATACTGACAATAGTAAAAGATGATTAATTTATTATAAATTTTATATTAACCAGCATGCTTTATATCCAGGCCTTTTTAGATGCTGTGCCAGCCCAAAATGGTTGTTCAGAGATGGAAAGGCAGGGGATTTCCTGTTCTAAAGAGACTCAGATTCAAAGTTTCTCCCATCCTCTTTACTTCAGCAAGGAGCTTTGGTTCTGATAAAGGTCTAACATAGTTTAAGAGTGCAATACACTCTTGCTCATGGAAGTCTGACTCACACAGATTTGGTGAGGGGTGGAAGAAGTTCAGCCATTCCACACAACTGCATCTTGAATCATTGTGTGACAGCATAAGTAACAGATCACAATGCACGAGTAACTTTTTTGAAAGAGAACAGTGCTACCCCTAAAATTCCTCAATTTGGTTGACTCACTGTAGAGCTTCTCCCTGGCATTGTGCTATAAAATCTGAATTAATGGTAGATATCTAAAGAGGAATCCCCCACCTCTTGCCTCTAATTCTTTATTCTAGGGAGAGGCTGATTCACCCCAGGTCAAGCTCAGTGTATAAGGAAAGAGTTGGAAGGGCAATATCTAACTTAAACATCCACTGAGATTCAGACAACACATAATGGACAGAAGGGAACGAAAGGCTCAGTGTGCCTCAGTTAAAAGAAATATTCTTCAAAACCAAATCTAGCTTACAAAATAATCATCAGCATAAGGCAACAGCTTCCCCCTCCTTATGCCACATTAGTCCAGAAGAGAATCCTTGTGTTTATCAATCTGCTTGTCCATTTGCACAGTGGACTAGTTTAGAGAAAGTGAAGCTGCATTTTTGAGATTTTTTCTCCCAGAAGCTCCTTAGAAGAACAGTTGGCCTTCTTCACCCATTCAACAGTTGTTCAACTTGTTCTCAGACTTTATACCAGTAAGACATACACCTCATCTTCCTGAAGTTTTATAGCCCAATGCTTTAAAACAAAAAAATTCTTTTGTGCCTGTGCTGGTTTCAGCTGGGGTAGAGTTAATTTCCTTCACAGTGGCTTGTATGGGGCTATGTTTTGGATTTGAGTGGAACACGGGGTTGGTAATATCGTGATGTTTTTGTTATTGCTGAGCAGTGCTTATACAGAGCCAAGGCCTTTTCTGCTTTTCATACTGTCACACTGGCAAGGAAGTTGGAAGGCTGGGAGGAGACACAGCCAGGACAGGTGACCCAAACTGACCAAAGGGACACTCCACACCATATGGCATCATGTTCAGTATATAAAGTGCGGGAAAGAAGGAGGAAGGGGGACATTTGGAGTCATGGTGTTTGTATTCCCAAGTCACTGCTGTGTGTGACAGGGCCCTGCTCTCCTGGGGATGGCTGAACACCTGTTTGCCCTTGGGAAGCAGTGAATTAACTATTTGGTTTCCTTTGATTGTGTGTGCAGCCTTTGCTTTCCCCCTACTAAAATGTCTTTATTTCAACTCACAAGTTTTCAGGCTTTTACCCTTCCCATTTACCCTGATCCTGCTGGTGGGGAAGTGAGTGAGCAGCTGTCTGAGGCCTGGCTGTTGGCTGGGGTTAAACCACGACAGTCCTACTGACCTGTAATATTTTAATACCCTTATCCCAAAAAAAACAAGTCCAAGGTACATCTATTCAAACAACTCCACCAGTAAGATGTCTGAGGGAGCAGAATATAGACAGATGTTGCCTACCATCATACTTCATTAGACTAGTGTTTTAACAAAATAAAAGAAACACTTATCCATACAGACTTCACTCACTCACAGCAATAATTATACAGGCATCCATAGGAAAGTTTTAATGATCTTTATTCTGCATTGTAGAGGCAATCACTTGCAGAACAAATACGACCTGGTCCACTTGCTTACTAGATCAGGCATATTAAAGGATGGCAAACCTTTTTTTTCTTGAATTATTCAAAAGCTGCAGAGGATTAATATGCAGTGCAAAAGGAACAGAGTGGTACCAGTTACTCAGTCTTCTTTAATAGGAACATAGATTTTCCCAGATTTCCAGTAACAGATTCTCCCTGTGTCCCCCCCCCACATACTTTTGTTATCAGAGAAGGAAGACAGGGAAGGAATTTGTTACTACCTGTGATTTATGGAATATAGCTCAGCTACACTTCTTCCCCCCATAGATCTACTACTGCTGTTCTGGTTGAACATGTATGGTAGTGAGCTACCCATGGTTTTACCCCACACAGTAACAGTACAGAGAGCATCTCATGGGCAAAAAGATTTAACGCAAATTTCAGTGCTTGGATTGCAGGGTGGAAAACTTCATTCTCTAATTAAATCACAGCAATTTTACTTTTATATACTAAAACACACATAGATGAGAGTCATACCTTCCTCCTACTGCGTCGTCTTGTGGCTGGGCCCCGGCAGTGTTCCTCTGTGAACGTCGCAGTGACCCCCCTGGATTGTTATTAGGCCGGTTGGACATTGGCACCTCTCTCCTGAAGGGACATACCCTTTCTAGACACTATCATTCACTGAAAGACAAGAGAGAAAGAGCCATAAGACATGTGGCATGAAGACTCACTGCCATGTCTCCAGAGGCAAATGTAAAATGAGACTGTTTAAGCAAAAACTTAAGACAAAAACCTTTACGCAATTTTTAGTTAAAAGACACGTGGACCAAGATTCTCCTCAAGAACATTTAGAACCTTAATACAGAGCAACCACTTTTACATAGATATAGCATACAGTTGACCTATTGGACTAGATGATCTTTAAAGGTCCCTTCCAATCCAAACTACCAAGTCCTCAATGATTCTATGATGACATGCCTTTTTTCCTGGTAGGTTTCTGTAACTATGTTAAGACAAATGTAATTTAGGAGAACCTGTGTTTATCAACATTAAAGAAAAACTCAATGCTTGATAGAGAGCAAGAGCATTCAAGTATTTTAATTCTCATTGCGGGAGATGACAACGCCAGTTTCAAGAACAAGCAAGAGTATTCACAAGATTACAGGAGTAACTTAACTACTATGCTCTTAAAGCAGCTTCTTTCTCTAGTCAGATTTATGCAACTTTTGCTTGCAAAAAGCAAGATACTTAACTCAGGAAAAGATCTAGCTACATAAGCAAGAAGTTCTTGCTCACAAGAGGTTAATGAGTGGGAAAAGGTATTTGAGACAGAAGGATTAATAACTGCACACAATTATTTTTAAAAAACAATCAATATGATGGCCTTGTATTACTGCTTTTGGAATTGCTTTGTGACTGCTACAGGTCTACAGATACTTTAGTAGTTACTTATGAAAGACTACTGTAACACCCAGCTGCAGTCCTCAGAAACAGAGGTATTTCAAGAACAAGTCTCACTTAATTCCTCACTGAAGAGAGGTGACTTCTGTATGCTGTGCTAAATCAGTATTATCATGTAGACAGCATAGCAACAGGACCACAACCAGCAAATCCAGTTCTACTATTTCTAATTTTGTGGAATCTGGTAAAAAAAGGTTATTTGCAGGTGAAAAAAAAAGCCATAAGAAGTGTGTTCTTGTTTAAGAACACAGCAGCCTATATGGCAGTTTGGTATCTATTATATTGATAGCACACTAAGCAAGAAGTCTGCCAGGAAAAAGTTTAAAACATTTCAACTGCAAATTCAAATTCAAATGTCTCCAATGAAATAACTCTCCAGACCTGGCACTGTCAGTAAAGCCAGTGAATAGTTGACTGTAATTGTCTATTCCTCTGAAAGGGCCTACAGAATTGAACAAAGGGGGGGAGGGGGCAGGGAGAAAGAATTCTAAGTGATGCAGTTTTACCGTAGGCCATAAGAACCCAGGCACATAAACTGGTATTATGCAAAGCATTACCTCACATATCACACTAAAAGGAACGTGTATATCATCCAGACACCTGCACAGTGCAAGAAATTATTGATCAGGATTCTGCTAGCTCAGATCCAGTCTTGTTATGCTGTAATAACACAAAATAAGAGTCCACACTTAGCATGCCAGAAATATTTTAAGTAAGGTCCAAGAATCAAATACGAATACAAGTTAGGCAGAAGAATTGCTCCCCATCCAAATCCCCATATCACAAGAGTCAAAAGCATCTTTTTTGAGTTTTTTTTCATGTTCTTTTCACTATGAGGTCCCACATAGCAGCAGACAGCAAAAGCAGAAAGTAGGATTAACAAACAAGTCAATTCTACCTTTGCTGTTTTGTTGGGGTTTTTTGTTGGTTTTTTTTTTACCTTATGCTTAGGAACTTGAAAGAATGTAAGTAAAGCACAAAATACACAGTGCCATGCAACACAGTTGTTTGATGAACCTCATAGCTAGAAGTCTTGATGACTAAGAACTGAGAAAGCTGTAAACCCTACTCCTCCAAAGGTGAGCTTTCCATCCTCACAGTTATGTCTAACTCCTTAATCATAACCAATATTCCCACTAACAGGAAGGTTTAAAGCTTTTCAGTAATACATGGCACCATTAGTCTACAACTTCTTATACTTTAGAGCACAAAAAAATTTACAATGAAACAGAAAAAGCCTGGAATAGCTGGAAATCTTGCCAGCTTGCTGCTGTAGCCAAATTAGTCAAGCTGAGGAGAGTGTAAGTGGCAGCATTTTCTTCAAATACCAAGGTAAGAAACAAAGCCCAGTATTAACAAGGTTGAAAGCTGAGCAAGGTTCCAGCCCTATCTAGGGGGTCTAGCTGAAGTCAATCACAGGCACTGTCAAATATTGTTGTGCATTCTGTTTCCTTGTATTCAAACATCAAACAAAAAAAAATTTTCTTCTTTGCTATCAGAAATGAGGTGCATTTTGTCTATTTTCTAAAAGGAGCAGTGTCCCCTTCCATAAGAGGTCAACTGAGGTTGAAACTCTGTACTAATGTCAAACTTTCAGTCCTACTACAAAATGGTTGCCACAGAACTATTGTCTCATCTCATATTGACAATAAGAATGTGCATTCCAGCAGGTTTCATTCTAGAAGGAGCAGTGCTCACTCAGAGCTCTGCCAGCTGAGCCACATGCTTTCCCACTTCAGGCCAGAACATGGGCTTCTCCACACCCCACCACAAGACTCAGCTAAAGAAAAACACTGCACAGGCAATCCTGGCCCTGTCCAGGGAAACTTTAGTTGAACACTGATCTGTCCAGGTGTTCTGGTTTTGCCTGGGATAGAGTTTAATTTATTCCTAGTGGCTAGTATGGGACTATGTTTTGGATTTGTGTGGAACACAGGGTTGATAACAGAGATGTTTTTGTTCTTGCTGAGCAGGGCTTACCCAGAGCCAAGGCCTTTCCCAGTTTTCACACTGCCACGCTGGCAAGGAGGCTGGGGATGCAAGGGAAGCTGGGAGGAGACAGAGTCAGGACAGGTGATCCCAACTGACCAAAGGGATATCCCAGACCACAGGGCATCATGTTCAGTATATAAAGTGGAGGGAAAAAAGAAGAAGGGGAGGACATTTGGAGCGATGGTGTTTGCCTCCCCAAGTCACTGTTACATATCATGGGGCCCTGCTCTCCTGGAGATGGCTGAATACCTGCCCGCCACTGGGAAGCAGTGAAGGAATTCCTTGCCTTGCTTTGCTTGCATGAACAGCTTTTTCTTTCCCTATTAAACTGTCTTTATCTCAGCTCACAACTTTTCTGGCTTTTGCCCTTCCCATTCTCTCCCCAGTCCTGCTGGTGGGGGAGTGAGTGAGTGGCTGCTTGGGGCTTGGCTGCTGGCTGGGGTTAAACCACAGCACTGGGTTAGCCAGACACTTGAAGAAGACTGTGCTTAGAAGTTATGCAGTACAATGTGTTGCCACGCACACGATACTTTCAGCTGTGTAGAAGAATGAAATGACAGCTGTTTTATCCTGTAAGGCATCTGTCAAGTCAAGATAATGTCCAGAATTATTTTCTATATTGAAACCTCTCAACTTAACTGCATTTCTTATTGTGTACTTGTTACATATGACTCCCAGTTTTCTTTTTAATATAATGCTGCTTCGTGATTCAACTGTGACCTTTAACATCAGAACACTAACTTCAGTCTCACTGCAAGTATCTCAAGCCACACAATACCATATGCCCAGTCAGTCCAGTAACAAAGAGATCTTTTCACAACTGTCTTCCACATGCTAGAACCACAAAAGCCCTGAGGTTCCTAAATCCCAACTGTTCTCATACAGACTTGTCCCTCCACATGAGTCTCACTCGAAGTACTTGGTTTATTCTTTCCCATCTTCAGATGCTTAAATTCAAAGGAAATGTGCAACCCAGTAGAGATCAGCCAAATGGGCCAGTGCAGTCCTGTCAGATTAAGACCATTTAAGATTTTAAGATCATTTCCTCAACTACACTAAACATTCTTCCCCATACCCACAATCAATAAGAAAAAAGTTACAACTGTACATCAAACCTCCATGTTTCTGTTGACAAACTCTGTGATTTCAGAATTTTTAAGTTCAGACCCTCTTCTAGCATAAAGTTATCTGCAAACAAACCACTTTAGTTACTGTCTCATAACTCCATATTCCTAGCTGTAATGATGCCAAAGCACTGGCCTACAGATGCTCTCATCACAAGCAGACTCTTTAGAATGAGGAAGAATTCCAAAAGCCCCAGCATTTCAAATAAACCCACAACAGATCTTCTGAAGCCATGTAACAGCACAGGTATCCAATGCTTTTTATTCTGCATAGTGTTCTTGGGTTGTAGCAAACACTGTCTGATTACTATTTACAGTCATCTTTGTCACTGTACAGGAAAGCAACTAGAATTAATTTCTGTAGACCTGACACAGCTATTTGCAAACACTATAGCTAAAGTACAGCCAACATACTGCTTGGAGAGACAAAAATTACCTGTTAACTTGTCATGAAGCCTTTACCTTTATCCTAGTGGAAAAGCCAACAGGAAACGAGTAACACTCTTCCATGTTTTTGAAGCAAACAGAGGAAACAGACAACTACACAACAAGCCTGTATGAGCTTTTACTTATCACCCTAATCACTCCCTGTAGGATACTGGGAACTGTAATGCAGCTATCATGACACAGCCTGAGAAAAGAGAGTAAACTGAAGAACTCCAGTAGGCTCTGGGGCCACTGACAGAGTAACAAGGCAAACCAGTAACAATACCTGTAAAAAATGAACTGAACTCTCTCACAAGGGCCTCCTAATCTACCTGAATGAGCTCTAAAATCTATTTGTTAGGGGGTTTTGTCTGTTTGGGTTTTTAAGTTCTTCGGAAGAATCTTGGTAATGCAAGAATTCTTTCAGGTTCTTGCACTCCAATTTCCAGAATATTTCAGGATATGCCTAGCACCTCTGCCTAGAATGCTCCATTATAATATCTGTTATCTCTTTGGGGTTGAGCTCAGTACACTGGTCAGCACACCTGCTTTTTCATACCTTGGCCCAAAAAACTCCGTGCCTTATTTAATGCTGCTGCAGCAATCCAGTGCCTCAAAACTGCAAAGACTTACTGCCCTGAGGTCAATATTAGGCAAAAGAAGGGGGAGAAGGACAAG